CAGTTTCACTATTATGTATGTCTATAAGTGATTGATATGTTAGAAACATGGCCAACAAGTTAACCATGTATTATATATCTACTTAGCTTGTGGTACAAGTTAATAATATGGCGCTCATATATAAAACTTATGTTATAAGTTAAGACATATGTCTTGCAAATTAAACATGTATCAAAGGTCCTATACAATATTGCCATAGAGTTTCTAATTAGATAGTATATATGGAGGTAAGAGTAAATCCTTCTTCACTCTTGCCAATGTTTTTTTATTCTTAGTTTAGTCTCAAGAATATATACTCTTCTTGTCTTTGGCAATAGTCATTCTAATCTTAATATTATAAAACTTTTGGAGTGAATATTTATTCTCCTTAAATTATATAAGAATCTTTTGAGATTCTTTTTATCTTGATTTATGTCCTTAACACTTTTCAATAGTTGGGCATTTTGAATACAACAAGGCTTTGGGATTAATATTTAAAATATATATATATATATATATATATATATATATATATATAATCTTAAATATAGAAGGAAATTAAAGATTTATTATAATTATGTAATATTTTTTCAAGATAAAAAGTTTTCATCATCAACTTTGTGGACTTTTTTAGCTATTGCAGATTCTAAAACAACCATGGTTTTTTGTTTCTATGGATTTTATCACAAATCTTCCAATCTCAAATTCTTATGGTTCTATATTCATAATAGTAGATTATTTTATGAAAATGGTTTATTTTATATCATTTAAAAAATCTATCTTAAATGAATAAATAGCTAAGTTTTTCCTTGATAATAACTATTCCTATCATAGATTGCTTAAGGATATTATATCCAATAAGAAGACTCAATTTATATCAAGATTTTGGAAAACTCTTTCTAAGATTCTAAAGGTAGACATATAACTATCTTTGGCTTTTTATCTTCAAATTAATAGACAAATAAAGTATATAAACTAATTTTTAGAATAATATTTGAAGTATACCATCAACTACCAATAAAGTGATTTGACAACACTTTCACCATTGATAGAGTTTGTTTATAATAGTATGATATATTTTTCTATATAATAAATACTTTTTTACTAATTATAGTTATCATCTATAATTTGATATTTTTGACTTTTCAAAAGTTGGTATTCATGTAACAAAAGATTTAGCAAATTTTTTATCTAAACTACATACAAAAATGAAGGCATAATTAATAAAAACTCAAGAACAACAAAAGACCAAGACGGATGCCTGTCATAAGGAGCAACTTCAATTCCATGTTGGCAACAAGGTATCAAGATTAGTTGCTTTGTCATAAGTTGGATTACCATAGGCTTGGACTATTTCTTATTTTGTGAATAAATAAATTTACTTGCTTATTAATTACATCAATCAAAGTCTATGAAGATCCATCTTGTATTTTATGTCTCTCTTTTTAAACAATATGAAATAATAAATATCTTGAAATGAAGAAAAAAACCGTTTCTTGAAAAAATAGATAATAATCAAGAATTCAAAGTGGAAGAAGTCTTAGACTCAATGACGTGCCAAAATAAATTCAAATATCTTATTTATTGGTATAGATATGATATTAATGAATATACATGGGAGCTTGCCAAAAATCTTACAAATACATCAAAAAAAATTGATGTTTTTCATTGACAACATCTATCAAAACCAAGATGAAGAATATAAAAAAATTTCTATAAAATAAATAAGAAATAGAAGTTTCATATTTGTAGTTTCTATATATTTGTGGTACTAAAGATATTGAGAATCAATAATCAAGAAATTTAATTCAAGACCTATTGTTTGTTGACTTATCAAACAAAACATTTAAATTGTCACAATCTTTAAGATGACCTAATAGAAATGAAGATCCTTAAGAACGACATGTTCTTTTTCAAATAGGTGGTGAAATACACAAATATATTTGGTATCACAATTATGAAAGAGATTCTTAATGTATGGTGATTTTATTAGAGATAAGGATGAATCTTGATGGTATTACAAATATTTTTTTGAAGAAAATTATAAAGACCTCATTAGTGATCAAATAATAGGGTAGTCTTTCCATTTTAGAATAGGCCATTATTGATGGCTAAGAAGATCTACCAATTATCTTCAAAGAAAACAAAGATCAAAGTAGGTGGCAAATACAATTTGTTGCATCTTGAATTTCATTATAATGTGATCATTACTCCTCATAGAATCCATTTTTAGAAGAGATGAAGAAGGAATGTCAAATACATATATATTTATCTTATTAATTATTTAAATGATATAAATTAATAGAAATAAATTAAAATAATTAATTTGATATTATCTTATAGAAAAACTTCTTTAAAACTTCTTAAATACAGCTTTGACTTTATACTTGTTTTATAGTTGATTGATAGATTAGAAACTTAGCCAATAAGTTAATCATATGTTGAATGTATTAGTAGCTTCTAGTACAAGCTAATTATAAGGCACATATATAGAAAAGTTTCTTTGCAAGTTAAGACATGTGTCAAAGGTCTTATAAAATGTTGCCATATAGCTCTTAATTAGATAGGATATATGAAAGCAAGAGTGAAGCCTTCTTTACTCTTATTATGGTTTTTTTAGTCATTAATCTTGTTTCAAGACTTTCTAATCTTTTTGTCTTTAGCAATAGCCATTCTGATTTAATATTATACAATCTTTAAGTGATTTTTTAATTCTTTTCAAGTTATACAAGAGTGTATTGATCTTTTAGTTTTTTGAGATTTATATTCTTCTTAGTACTTTTTCAACAAGCATAATAATAGAAATGTGTGTATATATTTTTTACTCAACATTGACAACCATAAGCTAAATCTTCTTATAAGATCTTACTTATATGTTGCAAAAATCTTTTTATTAATCCTATAATCTAAAGCAAAGACTGTCAATGAGGTTATTATCTTGTGGAAGACTCCACTTAGAATTTAGGGACTAGCATAATACTTCAATGTACTTTAGAGGCATGATACACCTCTCATTGTAAAAGAATTACTGTGACATTTCTTTTGAGAGGAAGAAATGGTTGATAATTCATTTTGGAAGCTATTTATAAAACTCTATCTCTTCATTTGTATTTTTTGGACACATGGTAAACATAGAAATATCAAATATAAATTGCATGTATAATCAAGTTTAACAATTGTAAAATTGGACATAAATTTATTTTTGATTATAACCTTTTGTAATTTTAGGTATAATCCTTTGGTATTTAAAATAAATTTTGACATATTTAAATAACTTTGTTAACTTCAATTTGTGCTCAAAAGCCAAATTTTTCTTAAGCATCTTATGGTGTCTACATTGTACTATCCATGATAATAAAGATTATAGGACTCTTACATATAACATTGTACATAGAAAATTGAGAGCTTATTATAGAAATAAAAGATAGAAATACATTATCTAAAAGTAGATGCAACCATGAATTCAATATATGTTGCAGGTTGGTAGGACTCCTTTTGTTGGGCTTCTCTACACCAAATCAAGGTCAAGTTATAAGCCACAACCAACATATGTTTTTCTTCTCATTCATAACTCCAAAGGTTAGATGCAATCTATCTCTATTTCCATGCAATTACACTCTTTCTTAAGTCTTCGTGTCCTACAATTGATCTGAGTTGATAGTTTCTAAGTGGTTTTTTAATTATCAAAACACCTATTTTGGAGTTTCCTAAACAAGTAGAAGAAAGTAATTGTGAGACATTACCTTGATTGTAGGTATGAATTCCATCCATGCAACATTGATTCAAGGCTTGAGAGCAAATAAGCACAATGATGCTACATCATCTTTTCTTTTTGTGGTATCAATGTAATTGGAAAGGTTACACAAACTTTGTTAGATGGACTACTTAGTAGAGAGCTTATTTATTGATGTATGCATAAAATGTAAAGTGGTGTCAAGCTCTGTTCACGAAACATTAGAACATAGACATCTTGGTTATTGGAATAGAAGCAACATTGCTATAGACAAAAAATCTCATATTTTTATTATTATTTTACTACTAAAAACAACAAATCAACATGAAACAATCAAGTTGTAGGCACATTGGTTTTGTTGCCATTGAATGCACCAATATTGCTTGCAAAAACTAAACTCATAATTTGTGGCAAGAGATATACTCCAAGCTAACATACAATTTGTTAATATTATCTATAGCCTTGTATGGTCCTTCAAGGATCAAATAATAGAATCAAGTTTAATTTTCTTAGGTTATCTTGCAAAAGGTCCATGGACAAGATACAAGCACCAAGAATATAGACAAGGAGGTTGAAATAAGGAACAAGAGGTTGGAAACAAAGGGAAGGGGGATAAAGGAAGGAGAAGTGTAATGATGGTATTGACAATACATTGATTTAATAAAGGTTTGGGTTATTTTAATATTTTCTTAAATTTATTATGTATAATGAGAATTTATGATAAATTTTGATTTCAATTTAATAGTAGCTTTGAACAAAATTCATTTGAAATGCTATTAAAGTAAAGATTTTTGTCACAATCTTTTGTTTACATCTCTAATAATAATTTTTTAAGTCACAAATGAGAATAAAGAAAATTCAAAAACATTAATCTATCAAAGTAATTATTTATAATTCTTAAATTTAGTACAAGGTACACTTTTTGTTAAAAAATGATATTATATTCTACACTAATGTTGAAAAAGAACATATTCAACCTATCAAGAAGATTTTGGATAAAAGAAAAGCATTAAGTATTTACCTCATCTATTTACCTCATCTATTTATAACAGAGACTTACACTCCCACTTCTCACGTAGAATTGCAACTCACCGTACTAAGGGGTAACTGCAACAGTTTTGCCCAGAATCTAGTCAAAATTTTCAAGCAGAAATATAGTGTAATGGAAGAGAGGAAGCGACAGTTCGAAGACGTTTACTGTATACTGTACATGAGACAACATATAATCAGAACATTTTACAAATGAAGAGATTTTCGTATAGCCACGGGCAAATACCGACGCTGAGAGTTCAATCTGGATGAAGTACTACATGGAACAACAAGAAGGAATACAGTATGTAACTTACACAGAAGAATGCGTTCATTTTCATAGAGGATTTTAACTTTGGATCCGTAGGCTCTATGCAGTAATTGCGGCGACAATTAGGCAACTTCTCACACAATAGAAAATACTTAACATTCTCAAAATAAATAACCAATGGGCTACGCAGTGGGAGAATGCCTTGGTGCTGAAAAACTAGTCTATGTCGCAAAAACATCGAGTAACACTAAATCTAATAGAAATATAAGGTAACATCGGACAACCAATAGGCACACAGTTCAACCCACCGCCTAGGAGAATAAAATTCATACTTAGGTGGTGTTATGAAACACCAGTAGTGTGTAATAGTCAAGATCGCAGGTCCAATCAACCCTTGGACGCTTTCTCCACTTTCGTTTTTTTCTCCTTCTCGGGTTTCTCAGACTTGTCTGCGCCTGCTCCGCCAGCAGTTTTCTTCGGGAGAAGGACACTGTGGATATTAGGCAGAACACCTCCGTACGCAATCGTGACTCCAGACAAGAGCTTCCCAAGCTCCTCATCGTTCCTGATGGCAAGCTGGATGTGGCGTGGGATGATACGACTCTTCTTATTATCCCTGCTAGCATTCCCGGCCAGCTCCAGAACCTACGGGACGTCACGCAATCGAATTAGGCCTCTGCTTGCAGCACAAAATCGTAGCAACATCCCAAACGAAATCGGGAGGAAATCCAAGAATCAATTCAAACCAAAGACACACTAAAACTCACCTCAGCAGCTAGGTACTCCAAGACGGCAGCCAAATATACGGGGGCCCCAGACCCCACGCGCCGGGCATAGCGACCCTTCTTCAGATAACGGCCAAGTCTACCAACGGGGAACTGAAGGCCAGCCTTAGCAGACCTGCTGACGGACTTCTTCCGCGCAGCGGCACCAGCACCCTTACCCCTTCCAGACATGGCGAAGAAACCCTAGAGAAGGTAGAAGACAACCTCAAACAATCAAACTTGCAAGCAAGCACAGGAGAAGACCAATGTTGGAATGGACCTCGTGGACAACCCCTTCCGTATTTATAACTCCCCGACCTCAAAGCCAAGGGAACGCATCGGGAACCGATGAGAACGCATCCCAATTTCGAACCGCTGAAGCATGCCCAATTCTCCCTCCGATTTTCAATTTTCGTGTCTCGAGTGCTGGTTTTCCCGCCCATTTACAACCCCGCCACATTAAGGTCGACGAAGATGCGATGATTAATCCGCCTTCGAAGTGTTCTGCTCCTCACTGATCACGTCTGAAGGATTTGGTCTCCCGGAAATTGTTAAGGTTTCGAGTCAAGCTTGACGAAGGACCCTTGATGGCTTTACACTGACTACGATATGTACTCACTTCGAGATGGCCATAGCGGCCTGAGTATCAAGATAATTTGATATAGGTTGTCTGATAATCCAGGGCTTTAAGCTGCTTCAGACGTGGATACAGTGAAGAGTGGACCAGTTATATTCAGATTAGAATTTTCGGTATAGCGTTGCGACCTTAAATTAGGGTTAAGTTTTTCGTGTAGAGTGAAATGTGAAGAATTCAGTAAAATACTCAGATGAAATGGTGTGAATATGGTGGTCCGCTTTACTTCAGTTCAGATAAGGATTCAAACTGGTAACTGAAGTCTACGATTGTGTCACTTGATTTTCTAAATTACATCTCCAATGCCTTCCATAATTACCGCACACCCTGATATCCGTGAACTACTTACAAGAGAATATTCAACTGCCACCTGTTGTGCTATTTCCATATTCAAGGCAAAGTAGGAGCATTCAATGACGTCGAGATAGCAGCTCCACCACCAGAACCCCGAAACTTGAAGAGTCGAGGTCATCGTTTCTGATTTGGCTGCTTTCCCAGATGTAAACCCGTCTCAGGAAAAACAAGACAACCAAACCAATACATGATTTAAAAAAAGAATTGGTGAATCGTACGAAGGTGCACAAATCAATGGTAACAGGAGCAACGCAAAATCATCATTTAGCAGTACACTGCCGCAGGACGGCTATCTACACAGCACATTGCAATGCCCTGCAAGAGGGCATAAAACATCGTACGCAGATAGGAGAGAAAAAATTTAGATATAGGGGGTGTTTCAAAACACCAGTTGAATTAGAAAGTAAAGGATTTGATTCACTCCTTGTCGGCCTTTCCCTTCTTCTCCTTCTTTTCTTTCTCAGGCTTCTCAGGTTTTTCCCCTCCAGTCCCTCCAGCAGTCTTCTTAGGGAGCAAGACGCTGTGAATGTTAGGGAGAACCCCTCCGTAGGCAATTGTTACTCCAGACAGAAGCTTCCCGAGCTCCTCATCGTTCCGGATTGCAAGCTGAATATGACGAGGAATGATCCGACTCTTCTTGTTGTCCCTGCTAGCGTTCCCTGCTAACTCAAGGACCTGCATGTGACAGTGGACAGAACATATTTAGGCACCGAAAACAGCCACTGCACTAGTGATCACTTCGCTGATAGAGGAGATCATGAAAGCTAAAAAGTAAAGTGACCATTTACCTCAGCAGCCAGATACTCCAGCACGGCGGCCAAATACACAGGGGCACCAGATCCGACACGCTGCGCATATCGGCCCTTCTTCAGATAGCGGCCAAGTCGACCGACGGGGAACTGAAGCCCAGCTTTGGCAGACTTGGTAACCGATTTCTTCCGTGCGGCGGCCCCGGCACCCTTTCCTCTTCCTGACATGACGAAGAGGGAAACTGTAACCCTATCACAACAATAAACGAACGCGCAGAAAGCACAGACGAACAAAACAAGGCGCTGAAAGAAACGAGGACACTAACACGATATGCTGGGAAGAGGGAAGGCTTGAGGTTATAAGCAGGAGACCGCGTTCCCATGGTAAAGCGCACGTCTCGGCAGGCGGATGTGAATGCTGGGGATCGCGAAGCTTCGGGCGGTGAGGTGAGTTCGAATCTCCCTCCAAATTCAGTCCCCGCTCCCGCCAGTCCTCGAGAGAGGTGTGGTGGTCGTTCGTTTCGTTGCTTGGCATTGAAGACTTCGAAGCGGTGGATGCTTCTTGTTCTGATGATGGATGTGTGGATATGGATGATCTCGTTTTTAGAATCCATTGTCGAGGAGTTGAAGAAGCCAACTATTTGGATGTGTTTTGAGATTTATTTTTATGAAATAATCCAAAAGTTAGTTGAACCATTGAAAACAATTATATTGGTTTGCTATCTATATTAAAGTTATATATCCAATTTGATTTTTATATATAACTATAATAGGCATGTGTGTGTATATAAATATATATATATATATATATATATGAAATTGTTGAATTGATCTAAACATCTACTAGATACTAGATTGATCCACTCATCATCATTAGCAGTAGATCCAACCATTTTTTCATTTGTTTTTAAGGAGTACAAATCCAATAGTGGAGAATATTTTGATGGTGGTTAGGATGGGTGGATTGATTTAGTAAATGCTTGGATCTATTTAACAATTCCATATATATATATATATAGATGTATACATTAGTTAGTATTTATTATAAACTAATAGAAACTTGTGCCATTGGGAACATGCAAACAAATAAAATGATTTGTTGTACCATTAATAAATTGGAGGTCTTTTTATATGTGATGCAATAATTTTTGTTGGCTAAGAATTTCTTTGATTTTTGCAAATGAGAGGGCTTTTTATGTCTTTGTCTTAGAATTGTGCTTCCTTCTTATATAGATTAATTGACATTATAATACTTATATGTGATGCAATAATTTTTGTTGGCTAAGAATTTCTTTGATTTTTGCAAATGAGAGGGCTTTTTATGTCTTTGTCTTAGAATTGTGCTTCCTTCTTATATAGATTAATTGACATTATAATACTTATATTATGAATCCATAAGAAATAAATTAAGACCAAGCAATATATAATAATATGATTTTAAATATTCAATAATAATAATAATAATAATAATAACAACAATGACAAAATATTAAACGATTTCATTGTTGATAAAGCTTTGTCTAAAATAAAATGATTAGTGTAATTAATTAAGATTAGTAACTAGAGACTAATATATGAAAAATATAAAAAAATAAATAAAAATCAACATGTGTAAAAAGGATTACCAAAAGTACAACTTAATTCATATATATAAATTTGTGTATGCAAATTATGACTATCTTGTATAACCATGTAAATAATTAATTCTTTTGGAATGCTAACATTTATGAATTACTTTATTTATGATTGGTTACACATTTGTAAAAACAAACTGTGAAATGTGTTATCAGCTTTCTATCTTCTCAAAAAAAATATATATATATTCATAAATACATGTGGGGTTTACATCAAACTTGTGAGTACTGAATTGATTTCCAAAGTATTACACCACAACTTTTTTGTGGGTGGAATAAAGATATTATCTGTGGATTTTATCTGCCTTTATGAAGCTCGCTTTAATAATCTCACACAAAGATCAAAAATTGTTAAATAACACAAATGATAGTGACAATGTCTATAGTATACACTATAATTGTTTTGTTGAAACAATAGAAATTAGTAGTTAAACAAATAAACCATGTACATTATTCTAACACTTCTCTACATCCATGTAGCATAGACAACTACAAACAAGTATTTATACTGAACACATTATGATATGTTTTATTATGTAAAACTTGTAAAGGAATAAATGAATGTTTTGAATATTGTGTTCATTGCAATAAGTTTCTCAAATTTTTAGCAATTATTAAACTATGAACAAAAAACAATTCAATTTACTTGATTGATAAGTTTGATGGAATGATTAATGTTTTTTTTAGTTAACAAAAAGTTTAATTTTTACTAATAGGCATCATTAAAAATATCACATTAAAAGAACATACTATTAATATTCCTATCATTCATACTAACAGCAACAACACAGTTGAAAAATAATATTTTAATTTTTTATTGATACTTAAAATATGTATTTTAACAATAAATAAATCATTCTTGGTTGAAATGGATCTCATGTATTCAAATATCACATTGTTGGTAAGATATAAATCATTACAAAAATACGATGGAATGTAAACAATATTTCCAGTATATTGGAAATGTATTGCATTTGACTATTTATATATATGAATTTGCATCCTCTGAACATTGTAATACAAAATTTCCATGTCATCATAACATTACAATTGCATTTATTTAAAGAAATCTGCAACAAGTAATTTAAACCACAAATCACTACTATGTTTAGATTCGTGGTTTAAATTACTTGCACATGAATGGAATCAACGTATTTTTTAAAGAATATAAAATAATTAAGTTATAAAAATAAAATAATAAATTGATATGACGCCAGCCCTAATTGCTCTGAACTAGTTTCAGAGTCCAACGTTTGTGAGAACGAGGAAGAGGCGCTTGCGGAGCCATGGCGATGGAATAAGAAAAATGCAGACGTTGGGAGTTTTCAGTGAATTCGATTCTTGCCTCACTAACGCCTCGCATCGAGGCCGAGAAAGCGGCATTCGTGGAAAACCTTAACGCCGTTGAAAGAACCCCCCCATCCCAACGACAGTAGCGTAAATGACGAAGGAATTGGACGCAACTTTGCTTGCTATTTAGGGTACCAGAAGATTACCACACCGAGGCGTGCCTGTTCGAGCTCTTGCACACGCTCCGCCGTGTTCACAGAACCGGCACAAATAGGAAGGGTCGGCACTCGCTACCGAGCGCGGACGAAGCCCAATCGGGTCCATTAATTTTCTGTCTGTTGGCTGGAATACAACCCTAGCTGCGTTTGTAAGCCAAGAGTGACTGAATCCTAATTCTCCGATGAGATTGTGTACTCCCCCCTCCCTTGCTATTGTAACGAGATCCTTTGTACCCAACAAAAATACGACTCAATTAGTGCGGGAATGACATACGCTGAGATTGACGACAACAGAGACAGTCTCCAGATATCGAATTGAACTGATGAATAGCAAATTGTCACAACAGATTCGTATCCGTGGATGAGAGAGAGAGAGAGAGAGAGAGAGAGAGAGAGAAGTCAAGTGGTGAGGAGAAAGACACATCGGAGCAAACCTCTTCGCATCTCCAACATAGCAAATCCGATTTTAGCCACTAAGGAATTACAAAATTCTGCACTCCTCTCTACAGGACGCAATGCAGCACTGAAGTGCCCTCGCAATTGTCCGCCAATCTTCACCGCGTGCGATGCGAATGGTGCTGGAGACGTGGTTTTCATAGCCGTCTGCAGAGCTCATCAAAGAGTCGCTTCCCCTGCAGATTGCTGTGCAGGCGCTTCTTCCCCACCGCCCACCTGCAAAAGTGGCCTGTATCGGACTTCTATTTCCATACTTTTTGCTGCAGTAATTTGCAAGTGTGATTTTACAAAGTTTTGTTTTGTTTTTTTAATTATACTCATGTTCAAATGAAATTTCTTTGGATGAAAAAATAGATTACTATGTTGGGTATTAGCGAAACACTAAAGAAAACAAAACAATACCAAACATCAACCAACAAACTGCGTTTGAAAACATATTCTGAAATGCTTTATGTTTTGGTATTTCATAGAAATTAATTATTTTATTTGATATTAAGACGCAATCATTTTATTTTTTAAAATTTGATTGAAGTCTTTAAAACATATAGCAAGATTAAAACTTAATCAAAGAGTTGACATAAATTGTTTTACAGAATCTGATGGATCGTATTTTAATATGTAGATACAAAATTTAATTTTATTAATTATTTTATTTAAAATATGAATTTAAATGTAGTAAATAGAGAAGAAATTGTATATCCCGAACGAAGTGTAGTGCAAGTTGTTGCAAGAGTTTCAACTTTGCTATCCAAAGAAATAGAAATCAAAAGTTGTTGGAAAGATAAAGACACACTTTTATTGAACTATAATTAATAAAAAAATTAAAATAACATTGCAATACAAACACAATTCTTTTGGATATTACACTAAGTGTGTATTGAAACAATAAAATTAATTATTCTTATAATATTGTAACAAAAATACATTTAAAAAATAAATTATATATTTTAAAAATAAAGAAAATTGAAAGTTTCACCAAAAATAGTTACAAATTTAGAACTTAACTACAATAATTGTTATTTGTTAGTTACAAAACTCAAAAAATATGATAAAGTTTTTACAACAATAAAAGGTATGCTACAAAGTTATTATCAAATCATATATTTATCACAAAATAATCATGTATTATACTACAACCTCTACTTTTTGATAAATAAATACATATATAACTTGATTTTTTATAATAATATAATATTAAAATAATATATTTATTTCAGAATTACATGAACAAACATGAATTTTCCAAAAAATAAATATTTTATGCATTTTAAAAATGTTAATTCTTTAAATGCATTAACCAAATATTTTCTCTTTAGATAATTAACTAATGTTCAACTTAAGATTCCGAAAACATAAAAAATAAAAAAATCTACATTTTAAACAAACACATCACTCATAACATTGCAAATCAAGTAGTCAATATTAACACACACCATATCAATACCACAAATCATAACATAGATAGATTCAATTCAATATTGTTGCAAAACACACATATTCCAAGATTATCACTATGTTTGCTTAGACAAGACATTTATTTCTCCGACTATTTTGGCTTGTTAAAGCCATACTTATCTAATTAACATAAACATCTTATTTTGGATATATATATATATATATATATATAAGTATATATATTTGTGTCTACAAGAGATGCATTTGGATTGCCATAAAAGATCTATATGACATATGCATCAGATATAAAAAATCACCCATTGGAGGGGGAAGGACAACTATAATGAAGCACCAACAACCAAGGGGGAATTATAAGGAGCATTAATCTTCAAAAAGCTATAACTTGTCTATAAGTTTTTACTTAACTTTTTGGCATCTTTATATAAGATGCTATTTGGAAAAAATGAAGATACCAAAAAAACACCTCATACACTTGTTTAGATAAATTTCAAATACGTTACAACCTTCTAACATGCATGCACTGTTTAAGATAAAAAAATAAACATAAAATAATATAATTTTGAAATTTTCTTATTCTCTGTTTAATTTAATTGGACAAGGTTTTCTACTTATATATTTATTCCTAAAGACATGAAGTTATTTTTATTTATTTTATTTTATCCTACTTAGACAATCTTAGCAAGCTCTACCACAACATCAACAAAATTACCAACCCTAACTGCATCAAACGACAACATCACAGCAAACAAATTAAAAATTGCATGTGATAATCAAATTTCAAACTAGTACAATAGAGAGAGTGCTGTTGTAAGTACATAGTGTACCAATACCAACACATTTACCAAAAGAGCACTAACACACTTAAGAATACATCTCCCTCCCACATCTTCCACAAGAGTGGAGAATAATAGTATATTATACGCGTAGACAACAATACAACGGATAAAACGCACCGATTTCACACCACCCCGACGCACCCCCGTTTCGTCGCAACGCAGACCATCGCCGTCGCAATGGCAACTGACTGAAACCGAAGTGCACAGGGAATGGGTGATGTAGAGTTTGCGACGCGTTCGGGGAAGATGGATTCCTGAGGTGGGGATGATGAACCAGGTGTGCGAGATGTTAAAATTACGGGGTATACAACCCTGGATGCGAGAATTGTCGCATGCAGCATGTTTATTAAACAAGGACTCGATGCGTCCCTTAGTGCGAATTCCAATGCAGCAGTATGTTCACCCAATTGTCTTCCCCGCAGATGCTCCGTGGGGATTAAGCCGATGTTGAATGGAACCCATATGCCGGACAGTTTTAGTCCTGATCGACTCATCTTCGTGCAATCAAGCAGGCCCATGAAGCTCAGGGAAGTCGGCAGATCGTTCGACAGAATCTGGCTGCGTTTGGAGACAAGCGCAATGCCAGCTTCGGGGATGGAACAAATTCAACATACATCGAGCATACGTGACATAAGTTCATGGAAACTGACCGCAATTTTTTTCTAAAAGTGTGTGCCAAATCGATGAGGGTGGTTTTGGAATTTTACACAGGAGGAAGGCGAAGTGGCTGAACAAGCTCTATACTCTCAGGTGCCCACACACATACACTCATTCAATGGAAATCCAGAAGAAATTGCTTACCAGGATCTGGTGCAGTTTCAACATGAGTAGCAACCCCTAGAGAGCGGAACAAACCCAACACAATCAAGCGCCTCCGTCATGAGAACCAAGTTGAACTGTGATCCAGACAGGTCACACTAAGAGCCTTCGATGATGGCAGTAATTCACAAGTTCCGTGATTACTACTCAGAGGTTTGAACATGCGCCGCAGAAGAGAGTTATTGAAAATAAGGTTGACTAGCGAATGGTTTGTCGGTTCACATAAATTGCACACCAGAAAGAGATTCAAGCCTTTGAGAATTGCCTGTAGTGGAGCCTCTCTTCATAAAGCGTCGAAACGTGCTGAGCATCGGAGAGTGTGAGTGCGTCATGAGGGAGAGGACTTTTTCGGACTTATAGTTGCTTGAGCGTTGTGGGTTGTCTTCGGAGAGGAAGGAGAAGGGAGTTCAAACGATTTGCTGAGGGGGCGTGCCAGAAAGGTTGGGTGTTCTTCGCCCGCCATCACCACGTATGTCAGCTCAACGCTGGCGTCACAAGCCTTGACGTTGGGACCCAATTTCTCCTTGACGTCCAAGGATGTTGCATCGTAGCGAGCTCGTTCCGCACCGCCTGCTTCCCAAGCCCCGTCAGCCCATAGGACCCGCTCTTGGTCATCCCGAATTGCGCCCCTGACGCGTCTCCTGTGGCAAATATACTGGAAGCAGATCCAGAGAAAAATGAGAGTGACGATTCCCGAGCCAAGCATGATGAGGAAGAGCAAGTAGATCGGCAAATTGCCTGTAGCTGAGTGGTCGTGAGGCCCACCAAGACCCCTTCCGTCACTGTATCCCTGCCCATTGAAGTCATTGCTAGACATCTTCTCAGATTTCTACAAGCGCCTTCAAACGTCTTGCTGGTTCTCCCACATCTGTAGAACTAACAATCAAATTCATGAGATCAACAGCCGTTTTCTTCGAGTAATTGCTCTAATCTCGTGGTATTAAATCTTCTAAACCACAACCTTCAATAATGACTATGCTTGTATCTGTGCGGAGAAGTTGGTGTCAAGATTGCCTAGGTCTTCGGTTCTTTCGACAGTTTCACGTATCGAGTTTCAAATTTTGGTCAATAAGTTTGTACAATGAACATGTACTAGGAGGATCTTGGAGTTCCCGTAAGAAAAGGAGTTCTCGAATCCGCATCCAAAAAAATGTTAACTGACTGCGGCCAAGAACGAATACATCTTCTATGGCAGCACAATCCTTCACAGTTTTTTTCCTCCCAAAAATGTCAGGGTTATGAATTCGACGACCACCGACATTTAGTATGTAACAATCGTCCGCTAATTCCTATCGATAAACAGCAAGTTTCTTTCACTCTCTGAAGGCAATTGGAGAACTTGCCTGCAGGAAGAACCAGCGGTGTCGAGGAAAAAACCCAGCGATCGCCTAAGCCACAAACGTTGTAACCTACTCTCGAAAGTAAAACGACTTCATGCTACGGGCGTCAAAGTATGTGGAACTCCTCGCAGTCTACAAACTCGTACTAAAATCTTCTGGATTTCTCTGCTCAAGTCTAGGAACGTACAAAGACCACGACCGATCTCACACCCAATTTGGATTGACATCCCCACTGCAACTTGAGGAAAACGGCCCTGGCTCGACAACTACATGCACAAGCAAGAGACACAGAGCAACCCGACAAATCTAGAACAGCTATCAATCATCAATGTCGTCAACCTATTTGTGCTGAAAGACCGCAGGGTCGCTGCCAAGGTTTACATGCGAGTCGCGTAGTGAATCTTGACTAAGGCCGTCGGCATTAGAAATGTTGAGCCTTTTCGTTGCGTCAAGCGAGAAAATTCAGAGTCGTCAACACGACAACCCAAAAAAAGAATCCGACGAAGGAGAAAGGAGACAGCCAAGGTGGCGAAAGTCAAGAAGATCCAACTTTCCTACAGATAGAACCTGCACTGTTCACCACAGTGGGTCACAGTGCCAGCGGCTCATCGGCCAGGTCTGTGCCGCGAATGGCTTCATATATCGGAGGAGATCTTTGAAAGAGAGTCTAAAGAAGGGCACACAATTGAGTGAAGGTGAAGTATTCTACTTTACTTTTATGACCGAGATCATTGTACAGGAAAACTATGGGTTGCAGGCACTGTCTGCCGCAAACATGCCCATCAATCTTCATCGCTAGCTGGCTGCTGCTAAATTACACTAAAATACAAGTTGATGATTCACGCTCCCCCAGTCGTGTAAGCTCTCTCCTCTGAACATCGAGAGGATGGCCAATATTGGTTAAGAATGGAACACCTCTGCGACGTCTAACACTCTACAGATTGTAACAAGCTAAGAAGAATGGGATACACATTACTCAGCCCGGTCCACTAATCATGGGGGTCTTCACAAAGGCGTCTATGAAAAGGTCTTCAGATAATCTACATCTACACTTGCTACTTGGTACAAAATCGTGTAGTCTACTCTCGCTACCTAAATGTATCAGGATAAGTTATAATCCTGATCTTGATACTGGATGAACAGCATTGCTATGAAGGTGCTTAGTCATGAAAGGAATCATTGCTGAAAGTAAAGCATCCGGACATTCTTCGTGCGGTAGATGACCACAATTTGGTACTAGCACAAGCCTCTGCAGAATCATCAGGAAGAGGATTAGAACCTAACTGAAGCCGGAAGAACATCAAATGACCAAAAGTGAAGCTTGAGAGTGCACGTTTCATCATCCCAACATTGGCAACAGTTAACATTGACGAAGTGGAGTGACATACCGAGTTCGGAAGCTGTGATGCCAAGGACTGGGTAGTCTTTATGGGCACCAGGTTATCTTTACTTCCAGCTACAACCAGGACTGGCAAGTTCGATACACATCGCACTAACTCAGCTGCACTAGAGGTGGACAAAACTGCAGTAGCAGAGGTGGCCTTGCAGACTTCCGACATGGCCTTGTCCCAGTTCTCTACACGAAGAGGTGCCTGCAGCAACAATGATATCTGTTACTATCATAGAAGTGCTTGAGGTGTCAGGCGACACGACCTCCAATAAGATTGTCGTTGGTGATAGACCAATTCAAAGAAAAGGAAACGACAAAAAACAGCGAATACAAACCTTGTAAAAATCCAACGTCTCTGACGTGAGCTTTGAGGCATCATGCCAGGCACGACGAGTAGTAACTTGCGCTATTTCGGAGCGTAAAAGAGGTCTTAACATGTGACGCCCAAGGCGTGTTTGCAACAACACTCGAGCAGTAGATGACACAGTCTCCTTATCGAAACTAACACCTACTAATACCACTCCTTCAACTCGAACCTGCACCGACCGAGGTTTCAGTGTGCAATATTAGCAACACTTCCCTAGATTAGCATGGCGATGATAATTAGGATAAATTGAAGGACCACGAATAAATTCTAAAATACAGAACAAAGAAATAAAGAAATGAAGAGAGAAAGCATGCGAAAGATCGCGGATCTAACCTGAATGGAGTCTCTTGATTCCAGAGCCATTGCAGCAGCCATGAGTGCAAGCACGCCACCGTCAGAATGACCCACAAGAACAACCGAAGTAAAGCCTAGCCTCTGACAAAAGGCGAAAAGCAAATCCACCTGCTCCATTGGAAACGATTGTGTCAAAAACCATGATATGCTTCACATTTTCAAGGAGGCCTGTAAGCACCACGAAGACAATTATCAGCATTGTATACGGAATACACTTAAATACCTGGGTCTGTAACTCGTAAGGGTTCGACAACCCTTTCGGCTCCCACTCAGACCTTTGGGGCCGTGAGGTCAGTCCCCAACCCGGCCGATCGAAGGCGACAACTCTACAACCAACCTCTCTGGCCACGGTGGCCATTACATGCCTCCATGAAAACACGCCGCCTCCAAAACCATGAATGAAAATAACTCCTGGTGAGTTTCCATCAAAATCCCCGTTCACGAATGGCACAGTGGATGCGACCCCGGACCCTTGATGGGTTTCCTGCAAGATCGCTTGCCATCCATTCAGCGTTGCGGGACCGTTCCTCCAACTTGTGGATCCGTACACTGAATAATCATCACCTGCGTAACCACTCAACAGGGGTACCTGGACGGATAAGTGCATGGATCCAGTAGTAGATGACCGCACAAGAGGGTTCCACGCAGTCATTACATTTGATGAATTTTCCGAAGTCAAGCTCTGTGAATATTGTGGCAATTCGTCTCTTTCGTATGGACCCTTGAAAGACACTTCAGTATATGTACCGACTTCGACCAACTTGTAATGTATAGACAGCCCTTTCAAATCCATGAATAGGCTATTATAGTCAGCAAGCAGGTAAGCAGGTACATCCTTATCATCATCCTGTAGTGGATTTATCATCACATTTCTTTCTAAATCATTCGTTCGAGAGTAAGTTGGCGAGGAAACCCGAGGGACGTGCTGGTAAAGAGTCATGGACATTTTTCTGGCTGATGAGCCCATGTCTAATCTATCAAAGGAGAGCTTACGGCGAGCCTGACACCTTGTCCGGTAAGCTATAAAAATGTGTAACAAAGAAAATAAAGCCGATGAGACCAAGAGCAGTGGCAGTGTGATCTTGTGTCTCCTTTCTCCAGGTGAAACAGGTAATCCCGTGGAAACCTCAAAATGATCAAACATAGACGCCTTCACGGAGAGAAACACCATCGAACCGATCCCAGAAACGATAGTGATACCCAAATATGGACCGTGGCATAGGCTTGGGATGGCACAAACGGCATAAAAAACTGAAATAGCATCGAAACGTTGAGTTAGAATGAGTAAACAACGTCAAAAGAAAACTTCTACAGCTGTGGAAAACTGCGAATACACTGCTTACAACGCAGGGTCATGACAATTGAGTAAGCTAAAGATTTCTAGAGACACAGGGAGTAGAAGTATGTGTGTGTCTGCAGAGACTGGTGGACTTACAGAGAGCAGCAAAAGAACGCCCCAAGGACAGTAGAGGGATGTCAACAAGAGATCCCCGGAAGCTGTATGTTGCCCAATCAGCTCTGAATGAGAAACATAACCTGCAGCATGTGAAAGCGGAGAAGACGGTACATACGTCTGCAATGGAGACGAGAACAGGGCCAGAGGACACGAACAATGATCCAAACATGTTAACAAGGAAGAAAAGGGTCCTTCCAGCTCTTTTCAGAGTTTCAAGGCTACCCCTCCCTGCACCCATGATAACAGTCCTTTACACTTCAGCGATTATGCTCAGTCGAAACTTGATACGTTCTCCACGCATTCGATTTTCGCTACACCAGCTCACAATGTAACCCCGCCCTTTTCTCAAACTGAATCGAAGCTATCAGCTGCAACGAACCGCACTGCTTCATAGAGTTACTGAGATGTGTGTTACTGGAAAATAGAGCTCCTAGATGGCGGATTATGCTGGAAAACCGTTAACACAGAAGCGCCACCCTGTACACAAGCAAACGAATCCGTTACAATCAATCGTTTACTCAATGCCACACCTGCTTTTCTTGACTATCCTAATCCCGAATTGCTTCATTAATAGCACCGGCAACGCTGACTCTCAAAAATTCTGAGAAAGTTTTCTTGCACAAGATTGCTCGAGAGAGCACTAGTATGCAGGGATCCAAAAAGACCTGACAGATCAACACTTTGTGATGATCCCTAGAGGAATTCTATAGAGATCTAGACGGAGTCCATGGAGCATTACAGCCCTAAGCGAGTGGCCGTATGTGTTTTAACAAATACGGAAAAGAACAATAGTAAATCAATATCGTCTTGAGTTGGTTAATCGAACGATGGAAGGTGACCACAAATGATCACCAAAACGAAGGGCAACAATTTATAGAAGCGGCCTGGCCCTAGAGAAGTTGAATATAGATAACATCACTAGCAACAGGGGGGCTGGAGATATCTTCCAACAATCTAATAACATTGATGACGTGCGGAAGCAACTTGAAAAAAAGAATTCATACCACGCAAATACTACTAGAAAGACCTAGCAGGATTACCTCGGAGATAGCAGCCTACTTCAAGAGCTTCTATCTGTACCTTGACTCAACAATAGAACACGACTCACGTGACAAACAGCACATAGGGAGCTAAAAGACACTTCCCGTTTGACAAAATGTGGACAGAGAGAGGGAGAGAGAGGAAGAAGAGGGAAATCTATATATATATATATATATATATATATGCACACGCACACTTTAGAGCTATCTACTGAGGAAGTGTTGTTTCCCTCCACCTCTGTCCTCTACTTAAGAACGAACGTAACATGAATCTCCAATTACTACAACTGATCCTTAAGTTCAAAGAATTACGACCAATTTCAATACCAGCTTCTCTACAGACCTGCGTCAAGCAGCCGATCCTCAACCCCAATCCTTTGGGATTCGCGTCACCACGTAGGTCCCATTGCATCACAGCACGTCTCGTCCAGGCCAGAGAAGGAATTGAACAAACTTGTCGACCAAGAAGCCAGCACAGTCACCTCCATCCGCAAACTCAAGCCCCCCTCCCAACACTTACTGGCACCAAACTCACTCCAACACTTATCTCACGAGTAGTGAACTCAAAAACACGGCCCGACCGACCGGATACAGCCCGCACTTACTGCTGAACCGACTTGCAGAGTCGAGCAGAGACACGGAACCATGCGAGAAAGAGGAAGCTCGCTTTGGTCTTCGTCAACTGACCCGGGACTTCACTACGCTGGGAAATTACAGAGACAGTGGACTTGAAGTTTTAATAGCAGACGAGAAAGATGGAGGGCAGAGGGTGAAAAGTCCAGCCACCCCTCCCGCCCTTGCCCAACCAGTTACCCTCGCGCCCTGATTATGCTGCAAGATCTACGCGTGGGCCCAGTAGGTGTGCTTGTAATAGGGACACAGGGGAGGATGCGAGATAGACATAAATTGACCCCCCCACCCTTTCTTCAAAAACCACCGCTAGGGCTAAGCTTTCTACTCCGTCGCCGCAGGACGCGATACTCAACCCCAGATGCGCCAAAATTGGCCTCATAAACACAATAAACTAAACCCCTCAAGTCCGCGGCCATAGGGTCGATCGAGCTCTAGAAGATGCTATTCCAACGGGGCGAATCCAACAACGAGCTAGCCATAATCGTGGCTAGTTCTAACCTCCGTGTCTGGGTAGGGATGGACCTTATGCTAACCTTATGCTAATGCACCCGAATATAGGAAGCCGGATGCAAAACCTCTGGCCGTTAATCTCTCTGCTTGATGCAGTTTCAAGCTTTGGAGCTTTTAAAGCAACGCTCCTACACACTCTAGTGCCTCGAAGACTATAGCAATCGGGCTTTGCAATATGTTCCTGCTCAGATTGCAGGGGTGCTGGTTAGTAATATTATAATTCCTGGAGTTGAGGGCGACACTAGAGGTGGAACTCAGGAGCCACAGCAGTCACGCATAATCCATGCTGTTCGATTCCGATTTTTATTACTTAATGAATTTGTGGCACGAGAGCAACGATGCCCTGACAAGATTCGGAGAGTTCGTCCGGAAGTAGCGAATTGTAATGATCTGAGAGTAACAGTTGGTGATGCGTCAGAACCGCAACACTTGAGCTCGAGACGGCGTGATTCTCCACCCAAATTTCCAGCCATAGAAAAAGCAATGTCGCCCCACACGAAACTCAAAAGTGGATTTGAGTAAATCCATGAGGGCATGGACTCAAAGCCATTGACCATGCGGAAACAGAGCGACAGTCTGTGAGACATGAGAATAGAAGGTCATTCATGACGAAAGGTGCGCGCTCTGCTGGACTGCTCTGGCATCGCCAGCCAAGCCATGATGCCGCTGTGAGGGGGATGTCGGGGAGAGGGAGGATGCGGAAAACTGATGGGTACCAACTCCTCCTGGGTATCAATCTAGTGCCAATTTCCACAGAAGCAGCTGCCCACATGGGTCTCTGATGCATGCCCTAGCGTGACCCCTCATTCTCTCGTGGAATCGTTCCTCCAATAATTAAAATGGCAGATAATTTCGGTTTGGCATTGGTTTCCCATTGAGTTGGATATGAAAAATATGACGTGGTTCTGGCGATTGTCTGATGAGCCCCCAGCGGCAGGTTCCTCGGCAATCTGAGGAAAAGGTCACACCATGCATCACCTGGACGTGAAGCTGCGATTTGCAATATCCGTGCGTAAAACGTGTAGGTGGCTCCTTGCAATAGCCACATTCTTCAGTCAGGTTCTAACCATCCTCTTTTTGCACACAAAGCACTGCCCATTCATAGTGGGAACCCACTCAGGATTCCACATTCTCCTTCGCCACTGTGTATTTTCAGTACGGGTTAGGCATTCTGTCCCTCAGACAAACTCACCACAAAGCGTCCGTGGTCTGATTCAGTACATCCAATGCAACTTTTGTGTCATTTGAAGTACAAACTGAGTACACTCAAATATGTCACAGAGAAAGCCCCCTGACCAGTTAACTCTGCCCTACTGCACATTTCATGCAGCAGACTGAAAACCTAAAATGCGTATGTTCCAATATAATCGTCAGAAATCGGCTTCAGACATCAACCTTCCCATGAAAGCGGCAGATTCTTATACGAAAATTATGGATCATCTCACCAAATCAGTTTAATGTTTGGTATAAATAACCACAATATAAACATGTATGCATTGAACCAAATATCCGCTTCAGCTCCAGAATTAGCTTGCCTGCATGAATCACAGAAGCAGCTAATCCCGTGAATCGGGTGCTAATCAACAGTTAACTTAGTCAACGATTGAAACAGTCCAAAATACTAGATCGCACCAGTTCGGGGTGCCTGAGATCGTGTCCCCACTGTAAGTGTTCGGCAGCTAAATCCTCAACAAGTGCCCCAATTTTATTTTTACCCCTTCACGCATGGGTTTTCGATTCCAAGGCATGTCACTCGCCATTGAACCTGAAGATTGGGAACACCAAGAATCAAGACTGGGCATGTAGACGAGTAATATTTGAAATATATGTTCATTCATATCGAGGGATTTTTGTTTTTTTAGCTCCAAAAGGTTCGAACAGTTTGTTTTAATCTGGTCGCCTTCGGGTAATCCTGGAGAGAGAAGCACGAAAAAACAAACGCAAACGTTCAGTGCAAGAGTGGATAGAATGTTTCCAGCTATCTCACACCTCCCCACGGTGTCAACGACGTGGATTCTCTGTCAGTCCTCTCGTGACGGATGCCCGTTGCATCGCAGCAGTTTGAACTGTACTCGCAGTGCCTCACTGTCCCATGCACTCAGGTAGGGCCACTGAAAACGGTCTCTGACGACTGTACGGTGAGACGAACGACTTCCAGAGCCCTCCGCTGCCAGCTCTCCGTTCCCAACCGGTTAACTTTAGCCCCCACTTTGTATCGAGCGGAGGAACGGGGATTTTGTTGCCAACCAGTGTCTCCTTTCAAACACATTCAAATCATTATCGTTGCAATCGGCCATTGTTTTTTTATCGAAGGAATTGTCCTGAAGCGTTTACCTTTCTCCCTCCAAAACAGTGGTTTGTTCAGCATGTACTTTTTTGGTTCTTCTCTTTACTCCTCTTCGACTTGTCGTCTCTTCTTAAGTTTTATTTCAACTCTTTCCAACGGATACAGACTTACACGTACTCAAGGAATCAAACCTTCTCTACCTTTTTAATCCAGTAATAAGGACGCAAATTAGAAACAAATCCCATCAAGCTGAGGAGTTCGATAATATTTGTGAGAATTCATACTAAGAAATCATCGAACGTTGCCACGCTGCATGAACACCAACAAACTTCGTGTGGAATGTGCCCTTGTTGGTAAGTTAGGCTGGTGATCTGAAGTTTGAGTTCAAAAGGATAACTGAGTGAAAGTAGCCTTAGAGGGCAAAAGGTTCCTCCAGACAATTTCCTCATCATCAACATCGGAGGATTATAGTAAACAGGAAAATCTCGAGATTCTAATCATTGCAAATTAGGAACTACAATGTTCGAAATCATAACAGCCGGAAGGGTTCACTGGCTTGTGTGTTTGTGAGGCTGGCACACACGATGAAGCCATTGCTTAAAATTAAACTGGACTTTGGCTTCTGGAACTTTCTAGAACATTCGTTTCTGACGCAAATAGCGCGAATGAGGAGCCGACTCAGCCATCTCCAGTGTCGTCCAGCTCATCCAACTGATCTCCACGTCAGATGCTACAAATTGGCGCGAGTCATTCCCATTCGACAACAAGTGGTCGGGACCCACAGGGGGGTGATCCCCGACCCAATTCTGATGAATGGCTGTCGAATTTTATACACGTCAGCAATGCCACGTCAAACATTGACAAGCCGTAGGGTGCTGTGAGAACAGAAACCTAGGATTTGGGATAACATAGAGCAGGATTCCCGGTGACCTGTTATTTCATGTGCATGGAATCTTAGCGAGTGCATGACCTTCTGGGGAATCTCGTAAGATTCTATCGCGGATCACCCAACTTGACCGGTTATGGAAACCCGTTGCTTTCGCACGGGGTGACGTGCCTTTCGGCGGTTTCCATGTTGGCAACTTCTGGGTGCCCACGAACCGGATAACTCCCACGTCAGCACATGGGTTGGTGCCTAAACCCGTGCTCTCCTTTTTGTATCTTTTTCTTATTTTTATTAATCTCATTCCTCTCGTCTGCTTCTTCTTCTTTAGATTTAGGTCATCATACAAGTTTACTTTTTGAATAAAAAAATAGAAAAACCTTCACATCATTCAATTCTGTCTGTGTAACATTAAATGTGTGAGTACACATACATATTTGCTTCCTGTGAAAGCACATGGGTTTGCTTAATGATGTGCTGAGTAACAATAAATGTATAAGTGCACATACATATTTGCTTCCTGAGAAAGCACATGGGTTTGCTTAATGATGTTTAGACATTTTGCAATACTGCCAGAACATGTGTTTTTAGACATCTTCACTGTGTATACTAAATATGAAAATCAGACACTGATTTCAAGAAGTAAGCAATTCAATTATCTGCTTCATCTTGACAGGTTTGTGGAATTTTTCATGCATGGAGAGTGATTTGTTCCTGGTAGATTGTCACTTGTTTGGATTATTGTTTGTTATTATTTTATTGCTATTTATCAGAAATCAGTAGAAATACTATGTTTTCAATCATAAAAAAAGTTTATTTTATTTTCATGTGCTGTGCTTCAAAACTGAGGTTCAAAAAACAATGATTCAAAATATATGTGTTAGACATTGTAAAATTCATTGCAAAGCATGAAATTCTTTCTTTAGTGCATGAATGCATCATCCACTTGATAAACTAAACTACATTATGAAAAACATATATGTATATAAAAAAAATCATAACACTACATTGTTAAACAAACAAAAAACATAAAACAAATGTCTGGCTTTTCATGTCATTTGTCGTAAGAGTAGACAAACTTTAAAGTGTTAATATCAATCCAAACAATGATTGAAAAAATGACATCAAGAATCATTAATATTTTTATTTATTTGTGGTTTCTATTTTAATCATCCCATATTTATTGCACTGACACAAAGGAATCTGGTCGTTGTTTATAATATTTAAATGGATGTCAATTGTTAGAGTTGCACAAAACTAAAACATGAAATTGTGCAAAGACAAGAAAAAAATAAAACTTCTATCAATCAACATCTACACAACCTCAAATGTGCCTTATAGTTTACTCCCACATTTCAAAAGCAACGGTTTCACAATAAAAGTGAAATTGGTTTAACAAAAAAATAAAAAAATTGATAATCAAGAAAACACTGATCAATAATGATGTTAAAATAACAAATGATGAATATGCCAAAAAATCTGTTTGTAACATCACTTAAAACAACAAATAATAATAATAATAATAATAATAGAATAAAATTGTAGTTGCAAGTGTGATAAACTAGTCCAACTTCAATGTGCTTGATTAAAGATAGGAAGACATGAAAAATTAGCAATATAATGCAGTGTGAAAGCAAGTGTTCTCAAATCACAATTGATAGAATACATGTATGTGAATATATATATATATATATATATGTATGTATATATTTCGGGAATTGATATGTTGACCGGGATTTTTACTATATGTATTTAGATTTTAGTCACCTGACCTATGTTTGGCTTACTTTTTGATTTACTTTTTGGCTGTACATGATAATAACGTAGGGTGTAATCTTGAGGTGAAGTTGTCTTCACACTACCATGCATGTACTAAGGAACTCCTACATCCAAACCTAGGTCAATTAACTAAAACCCGGTCAATTTAGTAAAAATAAATGTCAAGGTATCAATTCCCACATATACATACATACATACATACATCCATACATGTGCGTATGTTTTTGTAATTGTGGGTTTATATGATCGCACAAGAACTCATTAGTTTTATTGTGGCCAGGGAAGATGTGTGACCGTGCCACACCTATAACCGATGAATACCAGGACTCGACTCCAACGCGGAGACGGGCTTCCGTGGAGGAGGGATTGTGGCTCAGACGCCACCACCACCACGACCACCACCACGCGGAGGAGAATCTCAGAACTTCACTACGCTGCTTCTGATTCATTCACCGAATCACCAGCGATGTTCAGATGGTGGAAGGGGTGAGTTTCGGTGCACTTCTGATGAACGAACGAAAGTGGTGGATCATCATCGCACAGTCCCCGACACGAAAGAGAGAACACTTCTCTGCTCACGAGGAGGAACCAGTCCGGTGTGTCGCTTATCCTCTATCGGCGCCCTGTTGTTTGCTTTGGAGGCTTTGGAGAAAATGGGTTTGTGAAGCATCTGGGCAGGCTGGTGGGTCGTTCCCCCGAAGGAGACTGACTGCGAGCTGGAGAGACCGAGCCCACAAGCAACAAAAAGCACATGGACTTCGTATGCGGCTGTCGTTGCTCTCTCGTTCCAGCTGCCACCCTTATTCTATTCCTCCTTCCAGCTCCCCTCAGGAGCCTGCTCGGCAAGTTAGCACCCCGAATCTTAGGTCCCTGCCACCCTGGAGTTTCTGACTCCATTGGATTAGAGCGGAGCGTGGAATGAACGTCCACCTGGCAATTGAATAAAGAGGATGAAACAGAAGCAGGAGCAGAAGAAGATGGAGTAACTCTGGATTTAATTGCAGATAACTTCGTCTTGTACAAGAGTCATTGGTTTCTATCCTGGAAACCAGAAGCGAAATCAAACTGAAACAAAGGGGATCTATCAGGACTGTCGGACTCCCTCCACAGCAAACTCCCCAATCGTTCTGGAGGTAGCAATATCATGTCCACAGTAAGTACTAACTGAGATACCGAGATCCAGCACCTCTGACGCCAACCCGGGTTTGCAGCTGGCAGGAGCTGTGTGGAAAGAAACAAAGTCGGGTCTGACTGTGATGATTCCAAAGGCGCTCTGCTGAAGATTGTAGTGTCCTCCGCGAGCAGCCCAAGGGAGACCCTGACAGGACTGACAGACACACAGGAGGCAGGTTCTGGTCTCTCACACACACATTCACACACACTGGCAGCACTGGGCTCCATGGGAACCTCTGGGCATCCTCACATGGTGATCGGTGTCATCAATGTGCGGGGACAGAGGACAGCCTCTCGATGGTGCCTCCTCCGTTCTAGGCTCCTCTTTCTCTGCTGCCCAGCGTGGAGTTCTGTTGCCTGTGGCGGCCACGGCGCAGTGAGTGGCTATGGTGGGGATGGAGTGATACTTGGGGGACAGCGGCTTGAAGGGACTGGGAGACGAGCTGCCATGTGCATCTAAGAGCGCTTTGCAATGAATATACAACAATCACCTGAAATGGATATGTATATATCTATAGCCATCTCTCCCCTCCGCAACTTTTGTCTCTTTCGATTGTTGTTTTGTTGGTTTTTCTTGAAAAATGACTAGAGTTGTGTGCTAAATTTGATGTTCAGAATCAATATTGTGATACAACGTTATGTGATTATGATTCAAACAATGTGGCTGTTGGCGAATTACCTGAAATCCTTTGAAGGTTGTCAAACTGATTTGGGAACGGCACTTTTGAATGCTTTTTTGTTCCACATGAATTTTACTGTCGTGAATGCAGCAGTACACCATCTTCATAATTTAGTGAGAAATCATACTAATTGATTGAGATGGCATCAGAAAGTGGCGTCGTGCTGTGGGTCCTTTAATGAGAATTTGAATTGTCCAGACATGCATGGATAATGATCCCTTATTCAAATATGACAAGCTTGAATAGTAATTGCGAGAAAGCGTTCATCATCCAAGCACAGTTGAACGGCAGACTCTGTAGAGACGATGTTGAAGTGAGCCAGCGTTTGTGCATTTGACCATTCATCCAGTTTTTACTAAGCGCTCACTTTAGACAGGTTTAACTAAAACCAATACTAGTGGTCAACCCAGCGAGAGCAATACCGATCAATGCGAAGCGGCACACAACTAGATAGAGACAAGTTAATGAAAGTGCTAAGTTCACCGTTTCGAAATCACCATGCAGGCCAACTAATTTCTAACCTCATCATCAATGTAATGAATACATGCAGGAAACCAGCACGGATGACAACTGGGTCTCTCTGTATGCCAATCCAATCACGCAGTGACAACAAGTTTCTCCATTGCTTTCAGTCAGAGGAATGACATTCAACTCATTCGTTTTCAAAACAGTGCACCACAACTACTGAATTTGTTCTGCTGCAAATATCTCCAAGTGATTCCACAAACACGGAGCATCCGTAAGTTTCATAGCCACACGTGGGTTTCAGCATTGCTGCACTAGCCCTCTGCCTAAAACAGACACCGCGTACACATTCCTAACCACCACCAGTGGAAGTAAAAACACTTCAGAAAGAATAACTTCTATGCCTACAATCATTGAACTTCCAGCCAAGCTAGAATGCATCAGCTGCATCAAGTGCAGCACCTTGAAACTCACTTTTGGGAATAATTGTAACGGTAGCTTCACACCAGCTGATTCAAGCACTTTACTTTTTAAAAATTCCACTGTCAAAATTGATTTACAGTTGTAAAATGTGCAGACAAACATGGTGAGAAAGTGAGAATTTAGAGGGAACTGAATCGGGAAGTTAGTTGTGCAGCTTGCTGCACTTACATGAGTGCTTGGGGTTGGTGCAACTAGACGATTTCCAGACTGACGTGAAGGTCGTGGGTTGCTTGCGCCACAGAAGGCTCACCATATTGGATTCAATGAATGCTGTCTCCCAAAATTCGCTGTGGTTAGCAACCAGGTTCTGAGAAACTTTCTTCGTCTCTTCGCTCAGCTCGCGCGGCATGAATCCGGCGCGCTTAATGCGCCGCGCCCACTGCGGATACGACTCATTTCGTTCGATGCGGGCGATGCCCTCGCATGCCACCATGTTGAGCAGCATCATGGCACCCTCGTACTCGATGATTTGACGCTCGTCCGGGTCGCGACCGTTGTAACCAACGTCAATCGACTCAAAGCATCTCCACCAGAAGGAGACCGCGTTCTGGAAACGCGTCAAGAAGTCCTGGGAGCAGTGATCGCTGTCATTGTCGCTCTGGATGAAGATGTGAGGATCTAATGTGAATAAAAAGTCAAGGAATTTGTCCCGGGGGGACAGGTCCGGTGGAGACGACTGGTAGTCGAGTTCCTCTGATAACCGGTGAAGGCGAAATTGGCAGACAACGGCTAGAATCTGCACAGTAATTTGGAGTTAGTTCATGATCCTTAAAAGCCTCTAACCCTAAACCATCCTTCCCAAGGATAATGCAAACGGCAATTTGACTACGAGAATTTGACGTTTAACATGGGACATGTAAATTTGAGGATGTGGAGATGTGCTAGTGTATGTCATTTACCTCCCCATCTCTGAGTTTCAAATCCTCGCGAGTGACGCATTCAAGCGGTTTTCGCACCATGTTCACTTCCACATGCAAGCCGAGAAGGCTGGCAAATTTCACCAACCTCGTCATGAAATCAGCGGCTTCGGAGCCGCCCCGGGTTCGCAAGTTGGGCTCTTCCCGCTGAAGGTCCCTGATCATGGTCATCCTCAGAATGGACGGCGGTCCGCCAGAGCGGCTGACAAGAGCGTCAATAAAGATGGGCCATTCGATGCCTTTGCCAGCGCCGATGTCGATGATGTGCAACCTGCTCTTTCCCGCGCAGACTTCCAGCAGGGTTTGGCTCGCGACGGAATAGCAGTTTTGATGCCAGGGGACGTGTTCGTGGAACTTCACGAGAGCACGGTGCACCATTTTGGGACCGTAGCTTTGTTCCTGATCGTAGTGCCTCGGACGCAAATACGTCTTGGCGGCTTCCATCCTCCCCGTAATCCTACAGAACAGTGCACGGAGTCCGTAAGCTGCATATCGCTGATTGGCATCGCCAACCACGGAGGCTAGATCGTTCAACACCCACATGAGGTGCTGCATTCGGCTGATGTTCTTGCTGGCTATAGCAGCTGCACAGAGATTCAGAAGCTGCTCAGCCCAACGTGATTCACCCAGGCTTCGCAATCCTGATTGTCCCGGTGCCATCAAAGTGGAGAAATCACTCTCAACTCCGGATTTCGTCTCATTATACAAATCTCCTCCCGAACTGAAAGACGCTTCCCTATGCTCCGGAAACCTGTTGTATTGATGATTGGTCTGCATCTGCTCCCTGGAATTGTTTTCAGGTTGAAAGGATTGTTGCACGGCTGAGTGCTGACGCTCTCCAAAATTCGAGGCTGTACCTGCATATCCATGCGAACCAAATCCATAATTCGGTGACTGTGCATGGCGGAGTTGATTATCACTCGAGCCGGTGATAGAAATCCCATCAGAGACTGAATCATCCATGACCATATCCATAAAATCCGGTCTGGTTTCCATCACAGACTGATGAAAACTCAGGTCACGATTCTGGGCGACTTCGGAGCGCTGATGAGGTTGAGCCTGCTCAGCGAAGTGTCGCGGAGGATTGAATCCAAACGGATGTCGTGTGGACGAGGAAGCATTGCCGTATCTGGTTCGAACGTTGCTAGAGCTCTCGGCCTCGTTCTGTACAGAATTCGAAAGCATGTTCCAGGTTTTTTGATCTGCAATAGGTCTGGAGACAGGCTGTGTTTGATTTGGCACTGGAAATGGAATGCCTGGTGTGGATTGACTGACATTGTACACTGCATCGACCATGTTGATGTCTCCGGGAGTCGCGTCGTACTGCGCCGATGTTTGGGCGAGGAAGTCTGATTCCAAGTTTCGCCAAATGTCCTCGTATGACTGCATATCGATTTCATCCTGCACGTTATAGAATTCTTGGGAGAACGGCGTGTGCATTTCTGGCGCTTTGTGACGATGCATGGGTGGGGCGCTAAACTGCTGAGCAGGATGAAGATGACCTTGAAAATTCGAGCTGGGCTGCACCGCATACTTTGACTGCGAAGTGCGTCCATAACTGGCATTGTAGTGAACATTTCCAGTTGGTGGCTATCACAAAACATTTACAATCAGTACCAAGTATATGGAGATTTCCAGTAAAATGCTGGTAAATCGCAAACCGAACGTAAAATACAATGCATCACAAGTCTCATTGAGGAGGAGACGAATCACTCAACCTGCAGAACCTGAGAGCCACTCGAGACAGAGGACATGCCAGGATCTAGGATAAGCGGTGTCTGAGAATCCTGCGATGTCTGTGGAGAGCCCTGAAACCCCCAAAACAAACCCAGATTTTTAGAATTGCAACGTAGAGATATCAGACACGCAGCGAAATCTTTACAGAGCTTTTCGATGAACAGCTTTGTCCCAAGTGCAGTGTGTACGGGAGATTGAATGACTCACTAGATAAACGTATTCAAACTCTGGGTTGGAATACGGGTTGACCCAGGTTTGTGCAGCACCGCGCCGATCCAGATTACCTCTACTCATGTCCATGATGTGCTGGCCCGCTCCTCCCATATCTTTCGCAAACATAGCGAGGTTCGAAGATGCGGATCCGTATACACTTCCATCTCCAGGATGTGAAGAGTGACCTACCGCAAACCTCTGGGATCATTTATACCAATGCAAGAAACAAACTCCATCAGACTCATCAGACGACAACAGAATAGAAGAAGAAGAATAACCCATATTAGCGATTGGAAGGGGGCCAGCGTCAACACCTGCATTGTGCTGGATGGACACGGAGCCTGCGGAAGGCCATCCGCTCGGCGTGATGTCTGCCAATTTCGAAAAGAGCTTAGAGACCAGTTTAGAGTGACGATTACTTCCGCAGCTAATTCCTAAACCACGCTACATTCAAAGAAACTCAGTGGTAAGTGGGGAAAGTGCAGAGCAGTCACCCTCATGGTGTTAATTGAATTCAGCAATTAGCCGGCAACTTTCGTCGCGACTCCAATGGAGTCCTGAGTCAACAAGATTTCGGAAGACCCATCATCCTCCATGCTTCGCTTCTTCTTGCTAATATGTTACGGCCGGCGCATGTCGGCTTGGTAATTGAAGGCTTACTGTATCGTTGTAGGGATAATGTTATATTCTTGCGCCGTCCCTCTCGACAACCTGCAGAGTGCCATTTTACCAATTAGGTCACGCGATGTGTTCAAACTGGAAAAGGGTAGATGCACAAAACACGAATAAAAATCACGCCCATCCTTCATTCCAAAACGAAAGGGTATAATGTTCTTGCTAAATTTGATTCTTAGTTAAAATTGGGCAACAATCATGTGACTAGGGTGCTCGCTAGTTAAAGATAATTTTGCCGAAGGATGGAGCAGGTCCTCTGACCTAATTGGATCGAATAGATTCCTAAGATTCCAAGGCGCATAATCGGAGCATATGCTGAATGAAACTAAGACTCGACGCCGATTTCACGACATGACTCCAAGAAGCACATATCTGGCTCTGCGTCACCAGATCTGCTAAATTATGTCTTGATTCGCACACCTCAAAATTACTCTGAAGAATCAGTCTATACTGGCTAACCTCAGACATCGACACTCAATCCTTGAGTGCAATCATCCCAATGGACTAGAATCCCACACCCGCTACCAGACCTCCGACAGCAGATTGAGCAATCGTGGAGAAAGAACATCTCGTCGATGATGTGTGAAACATAATAGATCCTATAATATCATGCGGAATCAGGCGAACTACTTGTACTCTCGAAGCATCAGTACTGGCACAGAGGAATCGAGCGCATGCGTCAAAAGCATGCACCATGCTCGCCCCTACGCCTCTGCTACACGGCAAGAACAACCAGGGTTTCATCCGATATGGGAAGATAGATACATAGAAAGAAAGAAAAAGTGTTTTCCCTGTATGATCGTGGCGAGGATGGTGTCAGCACCTTACATGTTTTTCACACCGAGTGCTTTCTTCGAATAGCTCTGGCAGAGGGTCGAAGAATCAGATTCTCTGGTTGTACTAGCTGATGCATGTCTCCGCACATCCCAACATGTTGATAGGAAATCGTCGCTCCCTGTTAGTCCAACTGCAGAGACGAATACGAATCAATCTGAACCAGAGGCTACGAGAACAGGATGAGGGGAGCGGGATGATGATCCACGGACAAGCAGCAAGATAACTGTGGGCTTCGGATGATTCCTTTCTCGAACACTGTACAACGTCGTCTTACAGGAGGGGGATAGTACAATGAAGAGCCGATTCGCGCTGCTTACTCTTCCTCGCAAGACTGCGTAGTTGAGCAGCCAACGGGTAGCAACACAACGTCACGGAAGCGAGTGTGACCGGAGTTAATAGCCCATCCAGGGGAAGGGGGCTTTGCACGCAGGACGGGAAAAACTTGACAAAGGGATTAACTGCCAATGTTCGACATCGGAGACAGAGAGGAGACCATTTCTACCCCTACAACTAGATTTTCTGCCGTGCGCATCCATGTCTACCCACTAAAGAGCCCCTGATCCTCACGCCTCAGGCTGCCGACCACTGCAAATGGTGCGTCCTTGATCGGCAGATGGCCTTCTCTCTTTCTCTCTCTCTCACTCATTGATAAGGAATCCATAGGACAGGAGTCTCCATTCAGCCACACAGACAAGCGATGAAAGCACCCAGCGTCAGCAAGATGATGGGACGGAATCCATGGGACCCTCCACGATAAACGCTGCTCAAACACACATATACACGCACTCAGAAACGCACACACAGGTTGACTCCCTTAACCCCCTTTCCCCTCCTTCCTCCGGATCAGCACCCGGATGAGGATGTGCCCACATGGACAGAAACTTGAGAAGCTCGAGATCCGATACCCCCAGTTCTATGAAGACACGGACGAAGATTTTTCTCTTTTCTCTCCTGTAGAGATGAAAGTGATAAATCTGGGCTCAATCAATTTGTGACTGCACACCGATGCCGTGACAGATACAAGTGGGGAGGGGGGGGGGGGGGGCATTGATCAGGCCCTCTATCCAGCCGTTCTCTTTTGCTTCGAAGATTCCGAATAGTTTTGCTGCACCCGACCCGAAGATCTTCTTCCGCTTGAAACTCCATCCTACGGAAGCTGAGGGCAGGGCCCATATCTCTCATCCGCAGAGCTTGTGCTGTTTTTAAAGCCATTCAACTCGGCTGCTAGCGGGAGGACATGATCCGGTCCCGCGGTTATTGATAGCCCTAAGCACACCCTCTTGTCCACCCTTTCTCGCCGCAACCGGTCGAATCTGGACAACCTAGTGTTAGGCGAGGGTGCCAGGACTCCGCCCCTCATTTTTCACCTCTATCGATTAGCTGCTGTCGGGGCCCCACCGCCGTTCAGGGTCCGACCAACCGCAGCGCGATTGCACGCAGCGACCGCAACGCCGTCCCGCTTTTGGTGACTGGTCGGGGCTGCGTCGCTTATCTCGGGGGTAGAGGCAGCTGACGAGAAGGAGTTTTGCACTCCACGTTTGCGCCGCGACTATTTTTAGCATCTCCCTCCACGCTTCGTCGACAATGCACTATTGCGCCTCGCCTCCACAACTAACAGATTCACGATTGCGGGGTGAAGCAGATGGCGAGGTGGTGGTGGTGATCCAATCACCGAATCCCTTTGCTTCGCACCCCAGCGCTGGTTGCCGGTATCGTGAAATTGCAGCGTGCACAAATCACAATCAATCCTCCCTTCTTCTTCTTCCCATCCTTTCCTTTGCGGTGCGGTGTGTAGCGTTGCAAGGCGATGAGCGTCTGCTGAAATAGGGGCCCTGCTCGGCAAATCGAAGACGGAGCGAGGAGCCTCTCCTCGAATCCTTGAGCGTCACCCGATGCCGCACAATCACGTCATCCCGCGGCAGTTCTCAGCTGCGTCCGTAGGAATGAATGTTCTTCTGTCATTCGTTCGTGGAATTCTGAGTGTATGAATGAAAGCCGTGTTTTTACAATGGAAGCTCGTGTGAGTTTTAATTTATATTTGTACTTTTATACTGTAGATAGTGACTATTTATAGAAATTAATAATGTAGCTGATTGTATAAAGGAAATTTCTGTTCTATATAATACTCTATTTGTGTCATTTATTTATTTATTTATTTATTGTTGATTGTTTCTCATGAGAAATTCATCCTTGTATGAAATGAATGCATGTGTACGTGTGTATGTGTGCATGAGGTGTTCATTAAATTAATACTTGCAACAACACACCATGTTTTTAACTGAGGACATTCAACATGTTCGGTTTGAATGCATGAACTGATGCAAAGACTGGGAAATTGGATAGCAGTTTTGTTGATTGTCCATGTATTAGAACATAATTATTATCGACAGCCCAACAAGATTTGTTTTTAAACAACAAAACAGGGTGAAGGAAGAAGGGAAAAAAAAAAAAACAAAACAAAACAAAAAAAACACGCACACACACATACAAAATTGATATTTATAGAAAATTGTCAACAACACATAATAATGACAATAAAAAAAATAATAAAAATAATAAGGATTGGAATCTTATGTACATGTTTGTAAATATATTATGCTGAAGAGTTTTGACATAAATTTTGTTTTAATATTACAGTGTGAGTCAAATTTAATACAACAAATGACATCTTCATAAAAATATTAATCTAATTTTTACAACTACTAATAAAACCTTAGTACCTTAAATAATAGCTACCTTTGAAGCTATCCCTATTTGTCACCATAAAGTATACGAAATATTGGTAAGTTCCATTTCAACAAGCATTCTAAGGGCCTCAAGTATTTTAAATTTGGAGTGGATATTTTACTTATTTAGGGTGCCTCATGAAACACATACGCTTTATAACACTTACAATCGACTATCAAAAATGAATATATCTTCAATTTACTTTTCAAACGTTGGAACTATCACATCTTAATTAAAAAATATGTCTAGGTGAAGATTAATAAAGAAACGAATTGCTAAGTAGAGTAATTTTTCAACAAAAACAAAAAGAAACAAAAAAACAAAACTGAGTTTGTTTGCTATAAAAAAAAGATATTGTAATGAATTGTTGAACTTGTTTTATGCCTCTGAAAATTTCAAAATCAGTGTATATTTGTGTGTTGAAAATTTGGTATAATCAATAAATTAATTGATTACAATAATTATTCTACAATTAAAACCAATTTTTTTGTAACAATTCTTTCTTTCTTTCTCTCTTAGTCAAGATTATCAACTATTATCATCGTTATTAATTTTATTATTCCAGTCTCGTGGAAGACTTAATTGAATATACTGGTAATTATTTCCGATTTTTTTAAAAAAAATATAAGTTTTTTAGGGTAAGTTTTGCAACTTTGGAAGATATTTTCAAATGCGCAAATTCAGCAAAATTGGCCACTTGCGCCCAAGTGTCACACAGAAAGGCCATGAACTACACGAAGGATATTCTGGTTCGGAATCGTCGTGCCCTAATCGTCTTGGAGGTCATCAATGGCAGAGCCACGCTGGTTCCGAACCTCGCGAGCCAAGTTCCCGACCTCACCGAGGCTCTCAACTCTCGTGACCCCCCACCCCAGTTCCCACGTTCCTGTATGGGGAACGTGTGTTCCCCGGTTGGTTTCCTCAGTGGCCTTAGGCCGCGGAGGTGATGACGACACGGTCTTGGGTTGGTCAGCTTCGTCACCTTCGTGGGTTTAGGGGTTCCACGTGAAACGGCGAAAATCCTAAATGTGAGCGCACGGCATAAAACCCTAAATTTGGATGTTAGTGTGCCACGTCGTTATTACCTTATTTAGTCTTAGAGTAGGTATTTAAATTCTTTAAAAATTAATCAGTAATAGTTTTGGAGTCCTTTGCTTCTAGAGATAAATGTGTTTAAGTGATTTGTTGTAACATAACTTAATTTTTTAAATATTATAATACTAAATCTAAAATATAAAGTTTTTTGTATTTTCAAAAAATTAATTATTTTTTTGTATTTTATAATTATGACTTATCTTTGATTTCTTTCTTTTACTAAGTAATACATGAATATATTGTATGTTTTTAAATTTGTCTAGATTTATGTTCTTGACAACTTTTCACCATCTTCTTTACAAAAAACTTGCATAAAAATGAACATTCATTGAATCTTTGTAATTAAATTTTTTTGACAATTGATATACATTGATATACAAATTTATAAATATTATAAATATTTAGACACATAAATTAATCAATACATATATACATAATTTTTACTTTAATATATTATTAGTTTATTTTTTAATAAAATAAAATATTAAAGTTATGTGAGAATTTTATAAAATTATTTATTTAAATATATATAGTTATTGATGTTAAAACACAATATTCGTTATATTCTTAAATTAATAAAATACTGTATTCTCAAATACAAAGTCCCAAACTGTAACCAATATTTTTGTTGTGTATCTTCTGAGCTTCAATAAAATAAAATTTATACTCACATATTCACATATTTGTTCATGCATTTTTTAACACATCACATTTTATTTTATTTTTTATTTATTTTTATCAAGATACTCTTAATAATTATTATTGTTTCAGATAAATTCTGTCTGAATTCACATATTTTTAATTTATTTTTATTATATTTGTATGAATGTTGCAAAGTAAACTAATCTAAAATCCTTTCAAACTTTATCTATTTAAATATGGCTTACCTGAATGTCACATAAATCAATATACTTCTTTTTTCTGTTTTAATTTGATGAAATTAAAATTGAAGTTAACTAATTATAACTACAAATGAATTATGGTTTTGTTTGAATATTTTGTTTATTTTACATGAAACAAGCATGTCAAGATTAGTGTTGCTTCACAAAATGTCTAATGAAAAATAATCACATCTTGTTTCAATGATTGTGTTATTTAAACTCTTATTTTAGAAATGAATAAATTCTTACAAAAACATTAATTTCTTGAAGACATTATTTGATAAAAACTAACGTTCATGCAAATACAATCTTTTTTCTAATAATTTTTACCAACATTTGTAAACAACTCTTAGCGGCTTAAGTTCTCGAGCCATGGCAGAATCATTAAGTAGTATTATTCATCGTCATAAGCAGCATTATTGATATTTTTGAAGAAGCCTTGTTGTAATCTATGATCTAAATTCTCGAGAATTTCCACTGACTTCTAAAAAATCTTGCAAATGCATGTTAAAACAAAATTGTAGGACAGAATTGCAAATGAAGTCTTGAATCATTAAGGATACTGCTGGGCCCTTCTAAACCATGACTTACAAATAATCTTTGTCCACATTTTGAAATGTATTAGAGCAAGGATCACAACTTTGTTTTCATGGTATTCTATTTTGTGTAACCATATTCAATGGTTTAATATTATATATATATATATATATATATATATACTATAAATAAATTTATGACATGAAACAATTAGTAAAAAATAGACAAAAAATAAGAGAAAAGGGAACATGACAATGTTAAGCCTAACAACTGAAAGTACCATAAATAGTGAAGGTTGTGCACCCATTGTCCAAAGCAATAAAACCACGTTGGGGGGCATGAATGAAAAAAGGAAATGGATGAATGAAGATACCCCCACGAAGAGTAGGATGAATGAAAAGAGAACATGGATGAATAAAGATGGGCTCCTCTGGGGAAGACGAAGACGAAGCGAGAGAGGAGAGAGCTGGAATGAGAGAGGGAGGAGGGCCAGGGTAGCGATGGCGGAATTGCTGAATGAAAGGAAGTGAAACGAAGGGGGGCTAGCCGCATTTAGAACAATACCCAGTAACTAGATTCTCTTAGGGCTCAATCAGGGAAGCAGCGTTCTCATGGTATGATGATGGATCATGGCCCTCGCCTGTCCCCAACAGTAGCAGCAGCAAACCCTAACTAACAATCACTCCACTCTTCCACACCATTCCATCGCCGTCGGCTCAGTTTGTATCTCCACCACTGGGTCCATGATTCTTGCGTAGCGTTACACACTGCAGTTACACACCGCAGTCGGTGATTGTGTGCACAGGAGTTGAATTCGGAGAAATAATCGTGTGTGTGTGTGTGGGGAGGGGAGGTGGTTTAGTTGGCGACGTCGACAGCTTGTCTCTTACCTTGGATTCTCTGCATTGTGAGTGAGTGCCTGTACAGGCGAATGTGTTCTTTGGGATCAGTATCTATGGTGGGTTTTGGTGTCCTTGGGGTTTATTGAGGTGGGTGGTGTTGTTGTTGCTACAATGTGGGTGAAATGTGGTCACTTTTTTGCGCTGTGGAGACCTTGTGTACATTTTGGAACGAGGGTTTAGGGTGATTTGGGTGAGTTGTGGCTCCTAGGCTGAGATGAATTCACGTCCGTTTTGGTTTTGTATACTTGATTCGATACGTGGTTCTTGAGCGGGTTTGGTTCTGAGTGAGGAGGGCTAGACTTGGGATGCGCTCCTTGTTTTAGTTGACTTGTGCGATTTAGCTCGGATCCAAGCTCTATGCATACCACACAATTGCTTTTTTTTTTTTTTTTTTTTTTTTTTTTTGTCGATTGTGTTTAGTGTCTGGATCGCACTTGCTGCAGTTTGGCAAGGGTGTTACGGTGCTGTCCTCTGGGTTGCGTACTTCGTGAATTGGTGTAGTTGTGTGCTGTACAGCATGATTTTTTTTCCCCCCCTCCGATGAATGGAGAAGGAAATTAGGCTTGTTGAATGGTTGAGCAGCGGGAAAAAAATGCTCGCCTTCTCCCTTCAGGGCTTTACGCTAGTTGTGACTGAAAGGTATTGATTGAGATGGTTCCAGCTTTGGCATTAGTTTTTCCTTTTGCCTAGTGTGCAGAACTATGGGGCGCAGGTGTAGATTTCGTGTTATTTACGGAGGTATATATCCGTGTTAGCTAAATTCCTTTAACCCAGTTACAAAAGTTTCCGAAGTCCACCTTCTAGGACGACATTTGTCAGTTGGTAGAAAGTCTGAGCGGATTGCCTATTGCTCAAGTAGATATTGAGACAGTAAGTGTAGAGTTTGTTGCTTCGGTATTCTCACGAAAGACACATCTGATAAATACCGCAAAGTATGTGAAAAGATTTCAGATCGTATCTTCGGGGGTTTAGTGCAAGTGTTTAATGACAGAGATTTGTGTTCATTTAAGAGTACTGAGAGCAGGGTCTCGGACCACAGTCCAGTGGACATGGTCACTTGATTCATGGCATTTGAGGACGTCCTTCCTCTGGTGTGCTGGTCTCCTCATTATCTTCCAGATAATGGGCATTAATATAGTCGTGTCACGTCGTGGAAAATGGGGCCGACACCAACATCTTCGTGCTGCTTTTTGATTTTTTTTTGATTGTAGTCTCTTGCAAATTTCACAGAGTGAAGTTCACTTCGCTGTGTGTAAATTTATGCTTCACGTTTCTCCTGACCCATGGGCATGTATATTGTGTTACAGAATTGTACTTATGGATCATTTACAGATCGGGCAGTGTCTATCTAAAATTTAGAACATACTATCTCCTATGTGAAGATTCTCACGATCTCTCCTTTTCTCTGATTAGTGAAGCTGGGGAAAGCGTCATCTGCGATTCATTTCGCACCACTGATTGAGAACTTTATTCGGTTCTGGACATTCATTGTAACATGTCAACGCCATCTGGGTTTCTCACTGATGAGCAGCGGAAGTTAATGGTATCATTATCTCAAGGACGAGATGCAGTTTCAGAAGAGAAGAATTTGGTAAGAACAGTATCACACGGGAATCAGGAAAATCCTGACCCTGCCGAGAAACATGAGAAATCTGGCGCGAAGCTCGTTTCTGTTGGCAGTATGGAATCCAAGAAAGATCGTCATTCTCATTCCGGCAAGAACGGCAAGCCTAAAAAAGGTGATATTCCTTGTGGATTGAGCGTTAACCTGTTGCACTCGACATATACGTTTCCTTTGCATTTTGCGGTTCACCTATCTTATAGCCAGCATCAACACCCACGTGGTCCTTCGCTTGGGAATCAGGTACAGCCTTTTTGTATTTTGACCTGGGTGTAAGTTGACATCCGTGAAGCGGAGACTAGCATCTACTGACTGTACGCTTGTTTGTTATCGTGTGGTTGATAGTTTTGTCTATTCATCATGTTGCTTTTTAAATTATGCGACAGGCGGTGCTGGTGGGAAAGGTACTTGGGGAAAACTGCTAGCTGCTGACGGTGAGCTTGAGTTGGACCGCAATGATCCCAATTATGACAGTGAAGAGGTGTGAGTTTTACTCGTTTTAAGAATTAGCCTTGGTGTTCGCCGTAGTTGCTACACCGTCTGCAAATGGTTTTTACAAACGTGGTACTCATTGTTGCCTGCAAGGATTTCGCTTCATGAATATATCTGTGGGCCTTGAGCTGTTCCTTGTTCAAACTACCTTTATCAAATACATTTGTGGTAGTTAGTTGTCATTTGAATTGTAACTTAACTTTGATAGTTGGTCATGTGATTTTATTGATATTTCTGAATGTTCCGACTTCAGGAGCCCTACCAGCTTGTGGGGGCACCAGTGTCACAGTCCTTGGAAGAATACAAAGAAAAGGTAATCAGCCTTATTGAGGAGTATTTTGCATCAGGTGACGTTGCAAGTATGGCCAGTGATTTGAGTAATGTTGGTTCCCCCAATTACCACCATTATTTTGTGAAGAGGTTAATTTCAATGGCTATGGACCGCCATGACAAAGAGAAAGAGATGGCCTCTGTGCTCCTTTCAGCGCTGTACGCTGATGTAATTGAACCTGAACAGCTGGCCAAAGGTTTTGCCAACCTCTTGGAGGCTGTGGATGATCTTGTTTTGGACATTCCAGATGCCGTTGATATCTTGGCAATCTTTTTAGCTCGTGCCGTGGTGGATGACATTTTGCCCCCGGCATTTCTTTCCAAGACCCAAAAGGTATTGGTAGAGGGCTCACAAGGACTTGCAGTGATTCAGAAGACTCAAAAGAACTATTTATCGGCGCCTCACCACGCAGAAGTAATCGAGCGTAAATGGGGTGGTAGCACACACACTACAGTTGCTGAGGTGCAGGCGAAGATTGTTTCCCTTCTCAAGGAGTATGTGGAAAGCGGTGACAAAGCTGAGGCCTGTCGATGTATCCGGGAATTGAATGTGCCGTTCTTCCATCACGAACTAGTGAAGAAGGCACTGGTATTGGCTATGGAGGAAAGATCAGCTGAAGGAAAAATTTGGTCTTTACTTCAAGAAGCTGCGGAGGAGGGCCTAATCACTTCAAGTCAAATGTCTAAAGGCTTTACCAGGCTTTCCGATTCTATCCATGATCTTGCTCTTGACATTCCCCAGGCCAAGGAGAGGATGGAGTTGTTCACAACGAAGTAAGTTTACTTGATCAAATTGTATTATATTGCTTATAGTTTTTGTACTCCTTTGAAATATCCTTCAAGTTTGGAATGGAATTCAGATATCGCATCATATGACCCATGGTCATAATTTGTGTCTTGCTCTAGGGCCGTTGAGGAGGGCTGGGTTAGCGCTCCATTTTCACGGGCAGTGGTCTCAGAACTCGCAATGGGCTCTGCGGAGTCGCAGGAGTCCCGTACTTTTAAAGCCAAGGCTTCAAACATTATTCAAGAATACTTCCTGTCTGATGATATTGGTGAAGTGATAATAAGCTTGGAGGATCTTGCAGCTCCTGATTATCATGCTGCGTTTGTCAAGAGGCTTATTACGTTGGCTATGGACAGGTTTGTATATCTAATTAGTTTCTTCGCTGTAATTATACTTAGGTATCTGATTAAACTGCTTTTTGCGTATCTGTTTGGGTCACGCGTCACCAGAGTCCATGTGCTGTGTCATGGTTTCGAATTGGAATTTTTGCAACCTACATCCCTTCCATCTTTTTGCGTTGAGAGCTTTGTGCTGGTTGCTTATTCTTTGTGCGGTGATTGTTTCTGAACAGGAAGAACCGGGAGAAGGAAATGGCTTCTGTTTTGGTTTCTGAATTGTACGCAGAGGTGATTCCTCTTGTTAGCATAGCAAGGGCATATACGCTGCTACTCCAGTCCGCAGAAGATACGGCCTTGGATATTCCAGACGCAGCCAACGAGCTGTCTTTGTTTCTGGCTCGTGCTGTAGTTGATGATATTCTCCCCCCTTTGTATCTTGAAGAGATTAGCGAGCAGCTCGCTGATGGTTCTCTTGGTAAGGAGATTGTACGTATGGCACAGTCTATGCTCTGTGCACGCCATGCAGGAGAGCGAATTCTACGTTGCTGGGGTGGTGGTGGAACCGGACAGGCTTTGGAAGACGCCAAGGAAAAAATTAAGTCTCTTCTAGAGGAGTATGCGGCAGGTGGTGAACTAGCTGAGGCTTGCAGATGCATTCGAGATCTGGATATGTCTTTTTTCCATCACGAAGTGGTGAAAAAAGCTTTGGTGATGGCGATAGAGAAGAATAACGATCGTCCTCTCACATTATTAAAGGAATGTGCGAACGAGGGACTCATCACCACTAGTCAGATGCTGAAGGGGTTCAGTCGTGTGATAGATTCAATTGATGATCTTGCACTTGATAACCCAAACGCAAGAGAGAAGGCAAATGGGTATGTGGAACAGGCCAAGAAGGAGGGCTGGTTGAAGTCCACTTTTGGTAAAACCGAATCTGCTTCTAATGTCACTAAGTGAAGGCCTCTGAATATGCAGACGGTGACGGTCACAGGTACTGATGAGAAGGTGACCGCTACCCCTCTTGCGTGGTGTCTGTTCACCCGGACTGTAATGACGGAGTGCTCACCTAAGGCATTTACATTTCGATGAAGTAAGTTGAACGCACCTACCGACCTCTACCATGTTAATACAAGGTTCTGGTGGTGGCGAGTACAAAATTCTTATCATCTTCCGGTGGATCGCCCTTCTACTGTAGATCAAGGTACTGCTTGGAGCAGTTCCTTAGATCTCCTTGCAGCACAGGGAAATGATGCTTTTGCATTGCTGGTCCGTTTGCCTTTTCTCAGCGCAAACTTGATTTAGGTGGCAATCAAAGGCCCTTGTTTTGAGCAGTGTGCACAAGTGATTCTCATTTTCACAGACAATCAAGTTTTGTTCGTGAACCGCGGTCTTTTATCTTCATTGTTGTGTTTCATGGTTTGTGTTACTGCTGAACCTTATGTGGGTGGCTTGTCACATGAGATGTCTCTTTTGCTCAGTTGCTGCATAGATCAGACTCAATATCTAGCAAGAAAGTTTCTAAAATTTAGATCACAATTGAATTGAAAAGAAATTATAGGCGCCTTCCCTCTGGTTAGGCAAATGTAATTCAAATTAATTAGAGTTTGTAGTATCAATGTCAAACCACTTTGCAAGTGGCATTTATTCACCCGAAATCTTCTCCTAAACAAATATTCTGGTGACCCTGTGGCTCTTCACAAATGGATGCATGAAGTAACGAGTAGGAGTACAATTCTATTCACAATTTGAATCTTCTTCTGAACCCTCAAATCTTACTATCACGAAGTAATAGACACTTGGAAGATAGACAGAAATGTACAGTTAATTTGAGTCCCTTCTAAATTAATTAATTAATATATATATATATATATATATATATATATATATATCTATATATATATTAAACAGTTCAGGGGATAAATACCCGAGATAAAACAATGTTCTGATTAGTTTAAAACATTTTTTTGCTGGTATGTTGATTAGTTTAAAACATTTTTTTTCTGGAAAGCTATTTGGATGCCTGTAAGTTGATTGCTTCATCAATTCTCTCCACCACCTCAAGCATGAGCTTTGGAACCACTTGCAAGGCTTTCATATTCTCAACCACCTGCACATTCGATCCTATCCACATTGCTCCCATCACAATGCCATTTCCAAATTCGAAGCCACTCTCATCACATTGATTCCCTTGCAGAAGGAGCAGAATACAGATCTACCATCACTGAAACACATTAGTCCAATATATAAATATATATATATATATATATATATTTATGATGATTTTTTTAAAGGCTTTTTCTTTAAGGCTTATAATTTTTGTTAAAAAAATAATAAGAAACTTTTTTTTTTGGATCAGGTAGGGATTTTGATGAGGTGGATTATTTCTTTGTAGTACAATTTTTTGAAAGCATTACACATAGAGTTCTTCATAAATCAATTGTTCTAAGTATGATACCAAGACAATTCTAAAACAAGTATTTGTTGTTATTAATTAATAACCACATTCATTAAATAAATGTAAGTAAATATGTATACTTTTACATATCTAAAAGCTCAACATTGTTTTATTATTATTTTTATTGGAGATATACCTAATCTCTATTATAAAACATTTTTGTATATTTTAACACATTTTAACACATTGCCATAGGTTTAAGTAGTCTATCATATAAAACAACTTAGGAGACAAACAAAAGGAGACAAAAACCCTCTCTAATTGGCTGAGTGCATCTTTATTTTTGTCAAAAGTGAAGCAGAAGTATAGAGTTAACTCAACTTTTATCAATAAAAAATCAAGCAAAGTGCTGAGATCACTAAATTACTAGGCGTTTCCGAATTGCTGCATGGCTGCAAGATGATGCAAAGATTTGTTCTGAAGGTTGCAAAACATTGTGATTTGTTTCTTAAGGTTGTAGGTTCTAGAAGTAGCATTTTGAGCGCAGGAAAGCAAATTGTGACTGAGTTGAGAGCAGATCAATGTGATGCACAATTTGCCGGCTGGAAGTAGACTAATACAATCGGGGATCCACAAAAGTATGAGACTGAGATGAACCAGATGATGAACGTTGGACCAGTTTCACATCAATGAGGGGATGGAGCATACGCAGCAAAATTCACAATCAAATTGAGAACACAAACTCTACTGAGGAATTGCAAATCGAAGAACAAGCACAGGCTGTTGCCGCTCTGAGGCAACTGCACACAATGATGATGATCATTATTAACAAATGCTATGGTACGCTCTCGCGTTTGATTTGCGTTCGGAGCATTGCCACTGCACCTCTTGGCTAGTCTGTGTAGGAGCAAGGCGGTAGCAACAAACTGAGCATAGTCAAAGATTCAATGCAGGTTTTGTATGTGAGCAAAGATTAGTGGTGTTATTGAAATGTGTTATTGAATCTCTTGGACCAGTGTGTATATGATGTCGTAAATATGTATGAATTGTGGCCATGTATCGAATAGTTTGGGGTTTATACTGCAAAGACCACATTGGTATCCATACAACTACTAATATTTTGTTGAATTAGATTCAGTGACTTCAAAAACAATCTCCCGATATCCCGCATCACCTTCAAATCGCCAGTACTAGCTTGCAGGATTGTTCTCAGTTTGCGCAGCAACTTATGCTTGCTATCAACTTCTATTGTTGTTCTTTACAAACGACATAGAAGGTTTATTGTTGTCAATACGTCTCTCAACTTTTTGGCAACTTAGATTCAGCTTCCGTGATTGTGGTTTTCTGATCTCCCGGAGCATTTTTTCATCAACAATAGTGGCTTCGCATCATCCGCAATTGTTTGTATTCTCTGTCAACCGCTTTCTTCCTCGATGGATTCAACTATTCTCTCAATGGGAGTCACATTCAAAGCTTGACTAGCGCGGGAAATGACCTCAAAAATGAAGCCTGTGGCGTAGGCGGCTAAGACAGTGATGGCTAGGTGGCTGTGACCTTGCAAGAAGCGCAACTGCTCATATTTTGGCAAAACATTGGATCGCAAAAGGGCCTCCTTGCCGCGGGCATTGATAAGACCAATGCCTCGCTCTCACGCCGATTGCCGAGCACAAGCGACGTTAACAAAACATCGATGGTGTGGTTTTGTTTCGTGTGCATCAAGAGTTGCTGTCAATAGTTCTATAGGAGCTCCAGTTCCACTCTGCAATTGTAATTCAGATATGCTTCTGATCAGAAAATCTAAAACCACTGTGTTTCTAATTTTTCCAATCAGATCAAAACTATTTAAGGGAGCTTTTAAGATACTGCTCTTACATTGAATCAATGTTTAGTATTGTTATTGAGCATGCTTGACGTGTTAAAGAGTAATTGCATTTGTATTTTAGGAATGCGTAGCAACTACTTTCGGCAATTGATTCTCATCAGGATCTGATGCGTTGCAATGCATGGAGGAGGGAGTCTAGGTCGCTATGAGGACGGTGCAGGAATAGAAAGATCAAATTCAAGCGTGGGTCCATCACATCCTTTCACTTTTTGGTGCTCACGGGATATGATCGAGTTGCACACACTCTTTGCGTACAATTTTGTAAAGTTACGTGGTAATTTAGCAACTCAATCGCAAATTATTTGATCACTGCAATGCCACTCTCAATCACATTTAATATTAATTGAGCACTCATATGCAACTTCACATGTGCATATGAGTGAGTGAGTGAGTAAGTAAATGAAGTCTTGATACCATTAAAGTTGATATTCCTTGGCTTTGAGAGAACAATGTCACAAAAGGAAATAACTGGAACATTGCTTAGCTCCTGCGGTGTATGTATCGAAGTAAAAAGAGGTTAAAATTGACATGGAATTCTTTCACTGCTTTCTCTGAATATTGACTCTCAATTTACGCTAGATTCTCCGCAAGAATTCAAAAAGGAGGGGAATAAACAAATCTCAAAGGGCAGTGAGGTTTGAACAACAAGGCAAGGCGGGATCCCAATACGCTTCCCAGACAAGCGAGTGTGATCCGGCGCCAAGAGGGAGAAACTGCATGAATGGACACACCCTCGCAAGCATTTGCGACCCCACGTGGATCTAAGGCAGGGCCGTTGAACTTGCCATGGAGAACGTTTAGCGCTAATTCAATTGTAGAAAGGAGGGAAGTTGTAGAAGCAAAGTAACACAAACAAGGATTGTTTGTCTAGAAATTGTTTGTCCGACGACGGTTGTGTTGCTCGCGAAGTGCTGCGTACGACCTACACAAGACTTGAATATGGACAGACTAGGTGGTGCTTCAATGAGCTTTGTTCTCATGAGCATGTAATTTTAGTGAGGCTAATAAAAAATAGTGTACTACTATGTTTGATTTGCTTCCTGTTCAAAGTATAACTTACACAATGGTTTAAAATTATGGCATTTGATATGTCTTTAATATGTTTATACTACTGTCAATTTTCAGGGATTGTCGTTCTCTTGAGACAAGGTTGTACAGTATTTTTTCATTGTTTTCATTATCATCTCAACTTTGGTTTAACAAAATTAGTTGAACAAAAGTTGAGATGCTGTGGTTGTGTTAATTAAAGGTGCAAGTTTTATATACAGATCCAAACCCCATTTTGGAAAAAACAATCAATTTTGGAGGTACAAACACATAAAGAACAACAAGTTTGTACTCACCTAGACAACAACTAAAAATTGAAAGTGGCGTTGCAGTGATCAAATAATTTTTAGAAAGACTGCCTTCCTATTTAGCAGCTGAAAAAAGTGATGGGAATATTACAGGTGACAAAAAATCATCCTCTAGCAACAAGGCACGCCTCTTTAAAAAGGCTTGCTATTTTAGCAGACGGAACATAAACTACACATAATGTGCATTGCGGAAAAACCAACTTTAAAATATGGCCAATAACATGGATTTCCATTAGAGTATGTATATATATAAAATTCTTTTGAAGTTGATTTAGGCCAATGTATATAAATCATTTGAAAATATTAAGTTTTTCATTTGAATTTTAGAAGTTTTTTTACAATATATATATATATATATATATCTATATATCTTCTCAAGAGTTGCACACGATGCACTATAATAAACATACAAGTATGCTATTAAAGTGATGATTACATTATGGAACACTTTGGTTAAGAAAAGTAAAACAAACTTTTGATTGTGAGTATGAATAATAACATGATGTGATATCTTTGGCATTATCAAATCTTTTTATTAGCATAATTTCTATATAATATATTATTATTTTTTTGAATAATATATTTAAAAATTTAGAAATAATTTAATAATTAATTTAAATTAATGGTATTATTTTATCCAAATATATTATAAATATTTTACATATTATAATAATTATGCTAATTTATAATTATTTTTAAAATATAAGAAATAAAAAATTATATTAAATCATTTTTTAGAATTATTAATTATTATTTTTTTATTTTAAAA